AGGAACAACAAAGATCATGGCAGGAGTGATGGATATCGCGATAGATCGTGACAGGAACAACAAAGATCATGACAGGAGTGATGGATATCGCGATAGATCGTGAGAGGAACAACAAAGATCATGGCAGGAGTGATGGATATCGCGATAGATCGTGACAGGAACAACAAAGATCATGACAGGAGTGATGGATATCGCGATAGATCACGACAGGAACGACGGGGATCGTGATAAGGACGACAGATGTTGTGATAGATCACGTTAGGAACGCTGGATGTCGTGCTAGAAACATGCAGGGAAATCATGCAAATGAGATGCAAATGAGATGCAAACGAGGCCACGCCCACCTGGTCCAGGGCGTCGTCCCCGGGGGGTCTGGGCCCCATCAGCCCCTCCCCCTCCTCCGACGACAGCGACTCCGACGACGAGTCCTGAGGGGGAGGGGAGAGATGGGGAGGGACCCCGATCTGGGGGCTCTGCTCACCCTTTTTGGGGTCCTGTCACCCATTTTGGGGTTTTACCCATTTTGGGATTTTTTTACCCATTTTGGGTTTTTTTACCCATTCTGGGGTTTCCTTGACCCATTTTGGGGTCATGGAGTCCAAACTGCTGGGGGGGTCCCAGGTCCCATTTTGGGCTCTTTGAACCCATTTTGGGGTCTCTTTGTCCAATTTTGGGCTCTTTTACCCCATTTTGGGGGTCCCTTTTTACCCCATTTTGGGCTCTTTGAACCCATTTTTGGGGTCTCTTTTTACCCAATTTTGGGGGTCCCTTTTTATCCCATTTTGGGCTCTTTGAACCCATTTTGGGGGTCTTTTTTACCCCACTTTGGGCTCTTTTTTTACCCCATTCTGGGACGCTTTTTTACCAATTTTGGGGTGTTTTTACCCAATTCGGGGGCGCCAGATCCCATTTCTCGGGTCCTTTTGCCCGTTTCTGGGGTCTTTGTGCCCATTTTTGGGGTCTCTGGGCCGATTTTTGGGCTCCCTTCGCCCCGTTTTTGGGGCCCCTGACGCGTCCCCCGCTTTGGGGGGGTCCCTTCCCCCATTTCTGAGCCCCTCGATCCCGTTTTCGGGGTCCTTTTGCCCGTTTTGGGGGTCCTTTTGCCCGTTTTCGGGCTCTTTCCCCCCGATTTTCGGGCTCTTTTCCCGCACCTGGCGCAGCTCCCGGGTCCGGTCCCGCATCCTCCCGGAAGTGACCGCTCCGCGCCTGCGCGGGGGAAACCACCGAGACGGGGCCGCTCTGGGTCCTCCAGGGCCATAGAGACGAGACCCCGAGTCCTCCGGGACCACCGAGAGGAAGCTCCTGGGTCCTCCAGAGCCCCTGAGAGCGGCCCCGAGTCCTCCGGGGGGGTCCCCGAGTCCTCCCGGACCGTCGAGAGGGTCCCGATTCCTCCAGAGAGGGGGGGGGGCCTTGAGTCCTCCCAGACCATCGAGAGAGGCCTCTCTGGCCACCGAGTCGCCTCTGATTGGCCGGCGGGGGAGTGGGCGTGGCCGGGGCGGCGGCACTTCCGCGTTGTCGGGGCGAGGCGGCGGGAGGCGCCAGGGGGCGGTAAGGGCCGGCCCGGGGTGGTTTCCATGGCAACCGCCTCGCTCGGGGGGCGCCCCCGTTGCCATGGAGACGGGACGGACCATTTTGGGGGGCCGGGGGTCTGGGGGTCCTGGGCGGGGTCTGGGGGGTCCCAGGGCGGGTTTGGGGGGTCCTGGACGGGGTTTGGAGGCTCCGAGGGGAGTTTGAGGGTCCCGGGACCGCTTTGAGCGCCTTCGGGCGAGATTTGGGGGTCCCACCCCCCCCCTTTAACCCACCCGAGGGAGGTTTTGGGGGTCCCTGAGCCCCTGGGGATGGTTTGGGGGTCTCTGGGTCACCTGGGGATGATTTTGGGGGTCCCTGAACCCTTGGGGATGGTTCTGGGGGTCCCTGTGTGACCCAGGGATGATTTTGGGGGTCCCAGGCTCACCAGACCCCCGTTCAGCCCCGGGGCGATGTCAGAGGCGGACCCCGAGGCCGGGGGGGGCTCAGAGGGGGGCTCTGAGGGGCCCCTGGGGGTGATTTTGAGGGGTCCCTGAGCCCCCAGGGATGGTTTGGGGGTCCCTGTGTGACCCAGGGATGATTTTGGGGGGTCCCTGAGCCCCCAGGGATGGTTTGGGGGTCTCTGTGTGACCCAGGGATGATTTTGGGGGTCCCTGTGTGACCCAGACCCCCGTTCAGGCCCGGGGCGATGTCAGAGGCGGACCCCGAGGCCGGGGGGGGCTCGGAGGGGGGCTCTGAGGGGCCCCCCCGGGACCCCCCGGGGCCGCTGGCGCTGCTGAAGGCGAAGGCGCTGGACGTGACCTTCGAGGTGGGCGACGAGTACGAGGTGATCGAGACCATCGGCACCGGAGCCTACGGAGTCGTCAGCTCTGCCCGCAGGAGGGACAACGGTGAGGGGATGGGGGGATACTGGGGATACTGGGGACACTGGGGATACTGGGGGGACAGGGACAGGGACAGGGACAGGGACAGGGGGGCACCGGAGCCTACGGAGTGGTCAGCTCTGCCCGCAGGAGGGACAACGGTGAGGGGACAGGGACTGGAGGGACACTGGGGATACTGGGGATACTGGGGACACTGGGGGGACAGGGACAGGGACAGGGACAGGGACAGGGGGGCACCGGAGCCTACGGCGTCGTCAGCTCTGCCCGCAGGAGGGACAACGGTGAGGGACGGGGGGGATACTGGGGACACTGGGGATACTGGGGATACTGGGGATACTGGGGGGACAGGGACAGGGACAGGGACAGGGACAGGGACAGGGACAGGGGGGGCACCGAGGCCCACGGAGTCGTCAGCTCCGCCCGCAGGAGGGACAACGGTGAGGGGACAATGGGGGATACTGGGGATACTGGGGATACTGGGGACACTGGGGGGACACTGGGGACAGGGACAGGGACAGGGGGGCACCGGAGCCTACGGAGTCATCAGCTCCGCCCGCAGGAGGGACAACGGTGAGGGGACTGGGGATACTGGGGATACTGGGGGACACTGGGGGACAGGGACATTGGGGACACTGAGGGACAGGGACAGGGACAGGGACAGGGACAGGGGGGACACTGAGGGGACAGGGACAGGGACAGGGACAGGGACATGGGGCACCGGCGCTCCACGAGCGGTCGTCAGCTCCGCACGCAGGAGGGACAACGGTGAGGGGACGGGGGGATACTGGGGACACTGGGGGGACACTGGGGGGACAGGGACAGGGACAGGGGGGACAGTGGGGGAACAGGGACAGAAGGGACACCAGGGACACTGGAGGGGGACATCGGTGAGGGAATACCAGGACATGGAGGGGACACTGGGGGGGACAGGGCAGGGACACCTGGAACCCCTTTTTGGGTACTTTGGGGTCTCCTGACCACCTGGACCCCAATTTTTGGACATTTTGGGGTCTGCCGACCACCTGGCCCCCATTTTTTGGGTATTTTGGGGTTTCCTGCCCCCCGGCCCCCCATTTTTGGACATTCTGGGTCTCCTGCCCCGCTGGCCCCCTCCCCAGGCCAGCAGGTGGCCATCAAGAAGATCCCCAACGCCTTCGACGTGGTGACCAACGCCAAGCGGACGCTGCGGGAGCTGAAGATCCTCAAGCACTTCAAGCACGACAACATCATCGGCATCAAGGACATCCTGCGGCCCACGGGCCCCTACGGCGAGTTCCGCTCCGTGTGCGTCCCCAGCGGGCACAGGGGGGCCGGGGGCCTGGGGGCCTGGGGTGCTGGGGGCCTGGGGCGGGGGTGCTGGGGGTCCTGGGGCGGGGGGCTGGAGGGGCACCTGGGATGGAGCCAAAGGGTCAGCTGGAGGCGTTGAGGTGGTCAAGGTTGACGTGGTCAGTGGTTAAGGTCAACAGTCAAGGTCAATGTGGTCGATGGTCGAGGTCAACGTGGTCAATGGTCAAGGTCAACGGTCAAGGTCAACGTGGTCAATGGTCAGTGTCAATGGTCAAGGGTAACGGTCAAGGTCAATGTCAATGGTCAAGGTCAACGTGGTCAATGGTCAGTGTCAATGGTCAACGGTCAAGGTCAATATCAATGGTCAAGATCAATGTGGTCAATGGTCAAGGTCAACGTGGTCAATGGTCAAGGTCAATGTGGTCAATGGTCAGTGTCAACGGTCAAGGGTAAGGGTCAAGGTCAATGTCAATGCTCAAGATCAACGGTCAACGTCAACGCGGCCAAGGTCAAAACGTGGTCAAGGTCAATGGTCCAACTCAGTGGTCAATGTCAACGACCAAGGCCAATGGTCAAGGTGCACAAGGTCAAAATCAATATCAGTGGTCAGTGTCAATGGTCAATGTCAATGGTCAACGTCGACACGGTCAAGATCAACATGACCAAGGCCAACACGGTCAAGATCAACTTGACCAATGTCAATGGTCAATGTCAGTGGTCAATGTCTACGTGGCCAAGGTCAACATGGCCAAGACCAACATGGTCAAGATCAACATGGCCAATGTCAATGGTCAATGTCAACGTGGTTGAGGTCAACGTGGCCGAGGCCAACACGGCCGAGGTCAACGCGGTCAAGGCCATCAACGTGTCCAGTGTGAGGGTGGTCAATGTGAGGGTGACCAATGTGAGGGTGGCCAATGTGAGGGTGGTCAATGTGAGGGTGTCCAGTGTGAGGGTGGTCAATGTGAGGGTGTCCAGTGTGAGAGTGGCCAATGTGAGGGTGGCCAATGTGAGGGTGGCCAATGTGAGGGTGTCCAGTGTGAGGGTGGCCATTGTGAGGGTGGCCAATGTGAGGGTGGCCAATGTGAGGGTGGCCAATGGGAGGGTGGCCAATGCCCCTGTCCCCCCCTCCCCCCCCCAGGTACGTGGTGCTGGACCTGATGGAGAGCGACCTGCACCAGATCATCCACTCGTCGCAGCCGCTGACGCTGGAGCACGTGCGCTACTTCCTGTACCAGCTGCTGCGCGGCCTCAAGTACATCCACTCGGCCAACGTCCTGCACCGCGACCTCAAGCCCTCCAACCTGCTGGTCAACGAGAACTGCGAGCTCAAGATCGGCGACTTCGGCATGGCGCGGGGCCTGGGCGCCGACCCGCGCCAGGCCAAGGCCTTCCTGACGGAGTACGTGGCCACGCGCTGGTACCGCGCGCCGGAGCTGCTGCTGTCGCTGCACCGCTACACGCGCGCCATCGACATGTGGTCGGTGGGCTGCATCTTCGCCGAGATGCTGGGCCGGCGCCAGCTCTTCCCGGGCCGCAACTACGTGCACCAGCTGCAGCTGATCATGGCCGTGCTGGGCACGCCGCCCGCCGGCGTCATGGCGGCCATCGGCGCCGAGCGCGTGCGCGCCTACGTGCAGAGCCTCCCGCCGCGCCCGCCCGTGCCCTGGGAGAGCCTCTTCGGCGCGGCCGAGCCGGCGGCGCTGGCGCTGCTGGGCCGGATGCTGCGCTTCGACCCCCGCGAGCGCGTGGGCGTGGCCGAGGCGCTGCGCCACCCCTTCCTCGCCAAGTACCACGACCCCGAGGACGAGCCCGAGTGCGTCCCCGCCTTCGACTTCGCCTTCGACCGCCAGGCGCTCACCAAGGAGGAGATCAAGGCGGCCATCGTGGCCGAGATCGCCGACTTCCACGCCCGGCGCGACGGCATCCGGCGCCACATCGCCCTGGCGCCCTCGGGCGCCGCCGGCGGGCAGGGCCCTCCGGGGGGCGCTGCGGCCAACGGGGGGGTCAGCGTGGCCAACGTCAACATGGCCAACGCCAACACACCCAACGTCAATATGGCCAACGCCGGCATCGCTGTGGCCAACGTCAACGTCAGCGTGGCCAACACCAACACTAACGTGGCCAACGTCAGCGTGGGCAACGGCGGTGGCAACGCGGCCAACGCCAGCATCAACGTGGCCAATGTCAACGTCAACATGGCCAACGTCAACGTGGCCAACCTCAACGTGGTCAACGCCAACGTGGCCAACACTACCATGGCCAACATCAACATGGGTAATGGCGTCGGCAACGTGGTCAACACCAACATGGCCAACATCACCATGGCCAACACCAACGTGGCCAACACCAACATGGCCAACATCGCCATGGCCAACGCCAACGTGGCCAACGCCCCCAGCGGCCCCGCGTGGCCGCCCTGCGCCGACGTGGACATGCCGAGCCCCGGCCCCGCCCCCGACTGCCCCATGGACTCGCCGCAGGTGAAGGTGGAGCCGGGAGCGCCCCCGGTGCCCAAGCGCGAGGGCGCCATCTCCGACGACACCAAGGCCGCCCTGAAGGCGGCGCTGCTCAAGTCAGCCATGAGGAACAAGAGCAAAGGTCGGGGGGGTAAGAGGGGGGTGGGGGATCTGCCCTGGGGCTTCTGGGTTGTGGGGGTTGGGTGAGGTTGGGTTGGTTCAGTTGGGTTGAGTTGGGTGAGTTGGGTTGGTTGAGTTGGGTTGAGTTGAGTTGGGTGAGTTGGGTTCTGATTGGTTGGGTTGGGTTGACTTGGGTTAAACTGAGTTCTGATTGGTTGGGCTGAGTTATCTGAGCTGGGGTTCGTTGAGTTGGATTGAGTTGGGTTGGGTTGGGTTGAGTTTGGCTGAGTTGGGTTGGGGTGGGTTGGTTGAGTTGGGTTGAGTTGGATTGAGTTGAGTTGGTTGAGTTGGGTTGGGTTGATTTTTGATTGGTTGGGTTGGGTTGGATTGAGTTGGTTGAGTTGGGGTTGGTTGGGTTGAGTTGGGTTGAGTTGGGTTGGGGTTGGTTGGGTTGAGTTGGATTGGATTGGTTGAGTGGGGTTGAGTTGGGTGAGTTGAGTTGGTTGGGTTGAGTTGAGTTGGGGTTGGTTGAGTTGGGGCTGGTTGAGTTGGGTGAGTTGGGTTGTGGTTGAGTGAGTTGGGTTGGGGTTGGGTGAGTTGGGTTGGGGTTGAGTGAGTTGGGTTGGGGTTGGGTGAGTTGGGTTGGGGTTGGGTGAGTTGGGTTGGGGTTGGGTGAGTTGGGTTGGGGTTGGGTGAGTTGGGTTGCGATTGGCTGAGTTGGGGTGAGTTGTGTTGGGATTGGTTGAGTTGAGTTGGGTTGGGGTTGATTGAGTTGGGTCGAGTTGAACCAGTTGCCCTCAGCTGGGTTGACTGTGGCCGTGCCTTTGGTGTCCCTGCCGTCCCCCAGACGCGCCGCGCTGGCGCCGGGAGGCCCCCCGAGGGCCGGAAGCCGGTGACGGCGGCGGAGCGGCAGCGGGAGCGGGAGGAGAAGCGGCGGCGGCGCCAGGAGCGCGCCAAGGAGCGCGAGAAGAAGCAGCGGGAGCGGGAGCGGCGCGAGCCCCGCGGGCGGGGGGAGGGGCTGCAGGGGCTGGTGCTGAGCGACGACGACCGGCACCTCCTGGAGCGCTGGGACCAAGATGCGCGACAGGGCCCCCGCGCCCCGGCCCGCCCGCGCCCCGCCCCGCCCCCGCCCTCCCCTGCCTGCCCCCGCCCTGCCTGGCCCCGCCCGAGGCGTGGCCGGGCCCGAGGCGTGGGCGGAGCCTCCTGCCGGCCCCGCCCCGCCGGCCCCGCCCCGCCGCGACCCCGACGTGGCCACGGTGACGCGGCAGCTCTCCAAGTCCCAGGTGAGTGGGCGGGGCCTGCGGGGTGGGGCCTGGGTGTGGTCACGCCCCCCTCTCACCGCCCCGCCCCACCCGCAGGTGGAGGACCCCCTGCCCCCCGTGTTCCCCGTCACCCCCAAGGGCAGCGGCGCCGGCTACGGCGTCGGCTTCGACCTGGAGGAGTTTCTGAGCCAATCGCTGGACATGGTGGGGGACCCCAAGGACAGGTGAGAGCTGGGTCGGTTGGGTTGGGTGTGTTGGGGTTGGGTTGGGTGTGTTGGGTTGGATTGGTTACGTTTGTTGGGTTTGCGTTGGGTTGGGTTTGGGTTTGTTTGGTTTGAGTTGGGTTTGGATTTGTTGGGTTGGGTGGGTTGGGTTGGATGGGTTTGGTTTGGGTTTGTTTGGGTTGAGTTGGTTGGGTTTGGGTTGGTTAGTTTTGGGTTTGTTGGATTTGGGTTTGTTTGGGTTGGGTTGTTTGGATTTGGTTGGGTTTGAGTTGGGTTTGGATTTGTTGGGTTGGGTTTGGGTTGGTTGGGTTTGGGTTGGTTGGGATTGGGTTGGGTTGGGTTTGGGTTTGGTTTGGGTTGGGTTGGTCTTGAGTTGATTGGGTTGGTTGGGTTGGGTTGGGTTGGTTGGGATTGGGTTGGGTTGAGTTTGGGTTGTGTTTGCTGAGTGGGAGTCGGCTCGGCCTGCCCTCCCCCGCCCCTCCCCCACTGAGCGCCCGCCCCTCCCCCGCAGCCAGGGGGACTCGGCGCCGCTGTCGGCGTCGCTCTTGGCCGACTGGCTGGAGGTTCACCGGCTCAGCCCCGCGGCGCTCGAGAGCCTCCAGCGCGACCTCCAGCTCGGCTCCCCGATGCTCCTGGCCGACGACCTCCCCGAGCCCTGACCCCCTGGAGGCCACGCCCCCAAGGGGGAGGCCACGCCCACAGGGGTGTCAGCCCCACCCCCAGGGGTGTCGACCCCGACCCCCAGGGGTGTCAGCCCCACCCCCCAGGGGTGTCGGCCACACCCCCAGGGTGTCAGCCCCACCCCCTGGGGTTGGCCCCGCCCCAGGGGAGTCAGCCACACCCTGGGGTGTCAGCCCCACCGCCCGGTGCCTCGACCCCGCCCCCAGGGTGTTGGCCCCGCCCCGGTGGCCTCGGCCCCACCCCCATTAAAGTTTGTACGGAAGCGGCCCCGTTCGCCACCTCTCGATGGGCGCCCCTGTGGGTCGTGGGGGGTGCAGAAGGTCGGGGGTCTGGGGTCTCTGTAGGCCCCGCCCCCACTCCGTGGCCCCCAGGAGGGGGAGGGGCAGGAAGAAGGAAGGAGGCGGAGCCCGGTGCGCTTGTGGCAATGGGTTTCGTAGCAAATACATCACAGACCACGAGGGGCGTACACAGAGCGCAGGGACTCCAAAACCGCCCCACCTGGCGCAGCTGCGCGGGAGGGCGGAGAGGGGGCCCTCAAACCTCCCAATCCCAGCACTGGGGCCTGGGGAGGGGACCCCGAAGCACTGTGGGGTGGGGAGGGGGAGCAGGGTGGGACCCCAAAGTCACCCTGGCACTGCGAGGTAGGGGTGGGGGCATGGGGGGACCCCAAAACCACCCTGGCACCATAAGGTGGGGGTGGGGGATGGGGGACCCCAAAACCACCCCAGTATTGCAGGGTGGGGGTAGAGTGGGGACCCCAAAACCACCCGGCACGCGAGGTGGGAGTCGTTGTAGGGACGGCGCCGTGAGGACCCGGCGAGGGAATCTGAGTGGGGGTCGTTCGGCCTTGGGGGAGGGGAGATGGGCGGGGTTGCTCATGGGGGGATGGGTGGGTGGGTGGGTCAGTGACTGGGGGAGGGGTTGGGTGGGTGGTCGAAGGGGTTGGCGATGGGTTTGTTGGGCCATCGTGGGGTGGTTGGGTCTTTGGGGGGCCGTTGGGTCATTAACGGTGTTGTTGGGTCATTGGGGGATCGTTGAGTCATCGGGAGGGTCGTGGGGTCGGGAATGGGGCTGTTGAGTCTCCAGTATGGTGGTTGAGTCAGTGGGGGTGGGGAGGGGTCATCAATGAGGCCGTTGGGTCATCGATGGGGTCATTGGGTCATTGGGGGATCGTTGGGTCATCGAGAGGGTCGTTGGGTCATTGGGGGGTTGTTGGGTCATCGAGGGGGTCATTGGGTCACCGGTGGGGTCATTGGGTCAATGGGGGGTCGTTGGGTCACTGAGGGGTTCATTGGGTCAATGGGGGTTGTTGGGTCATTGAGGGGTTGTTGGGTCACCAGTGAGGTCATTGGGTCATCGAGGGGTCATTGGGTCACCGGTGGGGTCATTAGGTCACTGGGGGTTGTTGGGTCACTGGGGGTTGTTGGGTCATTGAAGGTGTTGTTGGGTCATCGGTGGGGTCATTGGGTCATTGGGGGGTTCTTTGGGTCATTGGGGGGTTGTTGGGTCACTGGGGGGGTCGTTGGGTCACCAGGGGGTCACTGGGTGGGCAGTGGGCCGGGTGGGTGGGTGCTGGGTTGGTGAAGTGGGTGGGGGTGGTTGGTTGAGTGACCGGTTGGTTGGGAGGGTGGTTGTGGTGACCGCTCAACCAACTGGGGGGAAACTGGGTTAACTGGTGGGTGGGGGCTCAACTGGTGGGTGGGTGATGGTTTAGCTGGTTGGGTGATGGCTTAACTGGTGGAGTGATGGTTTAAGTGGTCAGGTGATGGCTTAACAGGTTGGGTAATGGTTTAACTGGTCAGGTGGTGGTTTAACCGGTCAGGTGATGGTTTAACTGGCTGGGTGATGGTTTAACCAGTGGGGGGGTCACCAGGTTCATCAGGTGGGTGACCCCGACCCCAAAGTCACCCATCCCCCCACGGGACACGCCCAGAGACCCCCCAGGGACTGGGAGAGGTCAACCCAACCAACCCAACCCAACCAACCCAACCAACTCAACCAACCCAACTCAACCCAACTCAGGTCAACCCAACTTAACCCAACCCAACCAACCCAACCCAAGTCTACCCAACTCAACCCAACCCAGCTCAACCCAACTCAACCAACCCAACCCAACTCTACCCAACTCATCCCAACCCAGCTCAACCCAACCAACCCAACCAACCGAACTCAACCCAACCAACCCAACCCAAGTCAACTCTACCCAACTCAACCCATCCCAGCTCAACCCAACCAACCCAACCCAACCCAACTCCATTGAACCCAACCCCACTCAACCCATTCAACCCAACCCAACTCAACCCATCCCAACTCAAATTAACCCAACCCAACTCAACTGATTCAACCCAACCCAACTCAACCCATCCCAACTAAACCCAACCCAACCCACCCAACCCAATTTAACCCAACCCAAGACCCCTCTTGGTGCACCCCTCAGACCCCATGACCCACCCACCTCTCCCAAGGCCCTCCCCCTTACCCCCGGGTGGTGGGTGATGGTGGGGCGGGGCAGGATGGGATGGATGGAGGCCGAGGAGCCGCTCGGATTTGCCGACGCTGGGGCCGGGCACGGCCGGGGAGGGGAGGAGGAGGGGAGGGGCGGGGCCGAGGGGCGGGCCGGCGGGTGATTGGACCACGTGCTGGTTTGTCCGTTCGCATGAACAATTTCGTCTCTTGATTTATTGGCAATTTTAGGCGTTAATTAACGAGGAGGGGCGGGGCCTGGGGGGCGGGATGGGGGAGGGGCGCATGGCTGCCACGCCCTCTGGGGGTGGGGGTGGGGAGGAGGGCCCTACAAGCCCAGGGTGCCCCCGATGGAGGAGGCCAAGACCACCCCCAGCACCACGCAGCAGATGATGATCATGATTTTCTTCTGCCGGCGCCCGCAAAAGCCCCAAAATTTGGGCGTCCCGGCAGCGGGGAGGGGGAGGGAACGGGAAAGGGGAGGGGAAGAGAGAGAAGAAGGAGAGTTACCACCCCCACGCCCTGGCCACGCCCAGCGCCCCAAACCCCCCCAGATCCCCCCTGCCCTCGCAACTCACCCTCCGGGCTTTGCTCTGGTACTTTACGGCTTTTTGGTGTCGGACACGGCGCGCTCGATGCATCGACCGAGTGCTCCACGTTGTACTCGATGCGGTCGATCATCTCGCCCTGGGGGGAGGGCTAGGGGTGACTTGGGGGGGTCTGGGGGCTTTGGGGGACTTTCAGTGGGTTTTGGGGGAGTTTTGGTGGATTCTGCGGGGCCTTGGTGGGTTCCAGGTGATCTTTGGGAGGGGTGCCAGGTGACCCTTAATGGGATTTAATTGACCCTTAGTGGGTTTTAATTGACATTTGATGGGTTTTAGTTGACCCTCCATGGGTTTTAATTGATCTTCAATGGGTTTTAGTTGACCCTCAATGGGTTTTAATTGACCCTTGATGGGTTTTAATTGATCTTCAATGGGTTTTAGTTGACCCTCAATGGGTTTTAATTGACCCTTAATTGGTTTTAATTGACCCTCGATGAGTTTTAGTTGACCCTCAGTGGGTTTTAATTGACCCTCAATGGGTTTTAATTGACCCTCCATGGGTTTTAATTGACCCTTGATGGATTTTAATTGATCTTCAATGGGTTTTAGTTGACCCTCAATGGGTTTGACCCTTGATGGGTTTTAATTGACCCTCGATGAGTTTTAATTGACCCTCGATGGGTTTTAATTGACCCTCGATGGGTTTTAATTGACCTTTGATGGGTTTTAATTGCCCTTTTTTTTGGGTGACCTTCGGGGGGGGGTTCTTGGTGACCTTTGATGGCCCCTAAATGACCCAACCCTGCCCCAATTCAATCCCACCATGTCCTACCCTTCCCCCCAGGGTGTGTCCCCTCCCCCCGGGGTGTCCCTTCCCCCCAGGGTGTCCCTTCCCCCCGGGGTGTCCCCTCCCCCACCTGGCTCTCCACCAGCATGGCCATGTCCACGAACATGTCGTGCAGCTCCCTGATGCTCGTCTCCAGTTTGATGATCTCGTTGTGCCGCGTCTCGATCTCGTTCAGCGCCTGTTTGGTCATCTGCGAGTCCATCTTGATCTGGGGGGGAGGGAGGGGACACGCCCGGGGGGGCTCAGGGGGGACCTCCGGGTACCCCCGAGCTCGGGGGGGACCTCCCGGTATCGAGGATTTGGGGCATCTTTTGGGGGGGGACATTGAGGGCACCCAACGGGGGCTTGGTGGTCCCTTTGGGGTCTTGGTGGCCCCGTTGGGTTCTGGGTGACCCCGTTGGGTTCTGGGTGTCCCTGGTGAGTTCTGGGTGACCCCGTTGGGTTCTGGGTGCCCCCGTTGGGTTCTGGGTGTCCCTGGTGAGTTCTGGGTGACCCCGTTGGGTTCTGGGTGACCCCATTGCATGGTGGGTGAACCTATTGAGGTCTTGTTGGCCCCAACAAGGTCTTGGTGGCCCAATTGGGTTTTGGGTGCCCCCATTGGGTTCTGGGTGCCCCCATTGGGTTCTGGGTGACCCCATTGGGTTTTGGGTGACCCCATTGGGTTCCAGATGCCCCTGTTGGGTTCAGGGTGCCCCCGTTGGGTTCTGGGTGTCCCCATTGGGTTCCAGATGCCCCTGTTGGGTTCTGGGTGCCCCCGTTGGGTCCCAGTTGCCCCATTGGGTTCCAGATGCCCCCATTGGGTTTTGGGTGACCCCATTGGGTTCCAGATGCCCCCATTGGGTCCCAGTTGCCCTGGTGGGTTCTGGGTGACCCCGTTGTGTCCCAGCTGCCCCGTTGGGTTCTGGGTGACCCCATTGGGTTCTGGGTGACCCCATTGGGTTCAGGGTGCCCCCATTGGGTTCCAGATGCCCCTGTTGGCCCCCGCCGCCCCCGCGTACATCGTCGGTGAAGATGGCCAACTTCCCGCTCTCCAGCATGTCCTCCAGCTCCTCGTTCGTGGTGGTCCTTCCGGCTGGGGGGGGGGAGGGGTGGTGGTGACCCTCAGCCCCGCCCCCACAGGCCCCGCCCCCCGGCCCCGCCCCGTACTGATCTCCAGCTGGCGCTGGATGCGGAGAGTGGTGGTGACCCCCAGCCCCGCCACCACGGGCCCCGCCCCCGGCCCCGCCCCGTACTGATCTCCAGCTGGCGCTGGATGCGGAGGGTGGTGGTGACCTCAGCCCCCGCCCCCACAGGCCCCGCCCCCGCAGGCCCCGCCCCGTACTGATCTCCAGCTGGCGCTGGATGCGGTCCTTGCAGCGGTCGCGGTACTTGGACTGCGTCGCGTTGTACTCGGTCATCACCTCCACGAACTTCCGCGACAGCGTCGAGTGCTGCGGGGGCTCGCGTCAGCGAGGGAGGAGGAGAGAGAGGCGGCGAAGATGCCGCCGGGAAGCGATCAGAGGGAAAAAAGGAAATGGCGAGGAGAGCGGCAGAGGCGGCGATGGGGGAGGTGAAGGTGAGGAGGAGGAGGAGGATGATGGCAATGATGAAGGTGATGAGGATGAAGGCTGTGATGGTGGAGGTGAAGGTGAGGAGGAGGAGGATGATGAAGATGATGATGATGATGAAGGCGGCAATGGTGGAGGTGGAGACGATGAAGGGCCATGGGATGAAGAGGAAGATGATGGGGATGATGATGATGATGAAGATGAACCTGATGAAGACGAAGCCAATGAAGACGATGAAGACAACGATGAAGGTGATGATGATGATGATGATGATGGTGAAGATGATGGAAGACGATGGCGAGGGTGATGAGGATGAGGCCGGCGAGGATGAAGGCGATGTGGATGATGAAGATGAAGGTGATGAAGCCGATGAGGATGAGGATGAAGCTGATGAAGCTGGCGAAGATGAAGGCAATGAGGATGAGGGTGAGGATGAAGAGGAAGGTGAGGATGAAGATGAGGATGAAGGTGAGGATGAAGATGAGGATGAAGGTGAGGGTGATGATGAGGGTGATGATGATGATGAGGGTGATGATGAGGCCGAAGGCCGTACCTGTGTCTTGCGGATGCGCAGGTCGGCCGAGGAGCGGTTCAGCCCCTCCTCCTGCTCGATGCTCTGCTCGATGGCTGGGGGGGAGGGGCGGGGTGGGGAGGGGTCATCGCCCCGCCCCTCCCACAGGGGTGTGGCCAGCCCCGACCCCGCCCCTCCCCACAAGATCTGGGGGATTTTGGGGGTTCTGGAGGGTTCCAGGGGGAATCTGGGGGTCCTGGGGTGTTTGGGTGTCAGGGGGTGATTTTGGGGGATCCTGGGGGTGATCTGGGAGTCAAGGGGTGATCTGGGGGTCCTAGGGGGTGTTTGGGTGTCAGGGGGATTTTGGGGGGTCCTGGAGGGGCTTTTGGGATCCCAAGGGGAACGGGGTGGATTTTGGGGACCCCAAGGGGAATTTGGGTGTCAGGGGTGATTTTTGGGGGTCCTGGGGTGATCTGGGGGTCAGGGGTGATTTTGGGGGTCCCTTTTTGGGGAGAGATTTGGGACTGGTTTTGGGGAGGGTTTTGGGTGTTTTCGGGGCTGTTTTGGGTCTGGGGTTTTGGGGGTGCTGGGGGTGATTTTGGGGAGGTCCCAGGGGTGTTTTTGGGGGGTGCTGGGGTGATTTTTGGGGGTTCTGGGGCTGATTTTGGGGGTGCTGGGGTGATTTTGGGGGTGCTGGGGGGTGATTTTGGGGGTCCCAGGGGTGTTTTTGGGGTGCTGGGGGTGATTTTGGGGGTGCTGGGGGTGATTTTGGGGTGCTGGGGGTGATTTTGGGGGTCCCAGGGGGTGTTTTGAGGGGGTCCCAGGGGGTGATTTTGGGGGTCCCAGGGGTGATTTGGGGGTGCTGGGGGGTGATTTTGGGGGGTGCTGGGGGTGATTTTTGGGGGTGCTGGGGGTGATTTGGGGGGGTGCTGGGGTGTTTTTGGGGGGGTCCCAGGGTGATTTTAGGGGGTCCCAGGGGTGTTTTTGGGGTCACCTTTCAATTTGGACCGGACTTTGTTCGCGTTTTCTGATGTCGGCCGGAGGTCCTCGAGCTCCTGTTTGGTCTCTGGGGAAAGGGGAGTTTTGGGGGGTCAGGGGGTTCAGGGGTTCCCCATCTGGTCAGACCCCCAGGACCCCCAAACTGTGTCAGACCCCAAAATGTCCCCAGAGTGGTGGCACCTCGTGGTGCCCCCCACCCCATGGGACCCCCCATCCCACCCAGACCCTCCCCGGGGTCCCACTCCCCCAAAACCCCCAGGACCCCTCTGGGACCCCCACCCAAAGACCCCCTGGGACCCCCAAAATCGCCCCTGAGGGTCTGGGGAGTCATCAGGACCCGCAGTGACCACCCTTGGTGTTCCCCATTCCAACCTGCCCCCAATTTGGGGTCTCCCGATCCTCCCGGGGTCCCAAACCCCAGACCCCCCCAAGACCCCTGTGCCCCCCGTGCCCCCACTCCTCTCATCGGGGTTGGGGGCTGCCAGGATGGCGCTGTGGGGTATCCTACCCCCAAATACCCCCAAATCCCCCCAAACCCCCAGACTCACTCTCATCGGGGTTGGGGCTGCCAGGATGGCGCTGTGCCCCCAAACCCCCTGTGAGACCCCCAGACTCACTCTCATCAGGGTTGGGGGCTGCCAGGATGGCGCTGTGGGGATTCCCACCCCCAAACCCCCAAACCCCCCAGACTCACTCTCATCGGGGTTGGGGGCTGCCAGGATGGCGCTGTGCCCCCAAACCCCTGTGAGACCCCCAGACTCCCACTCTCATCAGGGTTGGGGGCTGCCAGGATGGCATGCTGCCCCCAAGACCCCTCTAGGGTCCCCCAAACCCCCTGTGGGACCCCCACTCACTCTCATCAGGGTTGGGGGCTGCCAGGATGGCGCTGTGGAGGTCTCATCCCCAAACCCCAAACCCCCAAACCCCCAGACTCACTCTCATCAGGGTTGGGGGCTGCCAGGATGGCGCTGTGCTGCTTCTTCACCTGCTCCACGTCCTCCGACAGCTTCTCGATGCACCCCCGGATCTCCTCCACCTGGGGGTTTGGGAGTTTGAGAGATTTGGGGGGTTGAGGGTTTGGAGTAGGACTTAGGGGTCCTGGAGTTGTTTGGGGGCTTTTGGGTGGAGTTTTGGGGGGACTGGAGGGAGTTTTGGGGTTTCCAGGGGATTTTGGGGGTTCCAGGGAGATTTTGGGGTTCCAGGGGGATTTTGGGGATTACAGGAGGGATTTTGGGGTTCCAGGGGATTTTGGGGATTACAGGAAGGATTTTGGGGATTCCAGGGGATTTTGGGGTTCAGGAAGGATTTTGGGGTTCCAGGGGGATTTTGGGGGTTCCAGGGGATTTTGGGGTTCCAGGGGGATTTTGGGGCTCCAGGGGGATTTTGGGGGTTCCAGGGGGATTTTGGGGGGCTCAGGGGGATTTTGGGGGGTTCCAGGGGATTTTGGGGATTCCAGGAAGGATTTTGGGGGTTCCAGGGGGGGATTTTAGGGGGTTCCAGGGGGGATTTTAGGGGTTCCAGGGGGATTTGGGGGCTCAGGGGATTTTGGGGGTTCCAGAGGGGGATTTTGGAGGGTCTGAGGAGATCCTGTTAGGGGGTCCCACAAGGGGGTCCGGGGGGTTGATTTTTGGGGCAGATTTTGGGGGTGTTTGTGGTGATCGTTTTTTGGGTGCATTTTGGTGGAGGTTTTGGTGGATTTTGGAGGTGTTTTTTGGGGTTTTTTTGGGGTGTTTTGGGGCTGTTTTGGTGCGTTTTGGAGGTGTTTTTTGGAGGTGTTTTTTAGGGTGTTTTAGGGCTGTTTTTGTGAGTTTTGGGGTTTTTTTGGGGTATTTTTGGGGCTGTTTTGGTGCGTTTTGGAGGGGATTTTTGGGGTGTTTTGGGGCTGTTTTTGTGAGTTTTGGGGGGGTTTTTGGGGCTGTTTGGTAGATTTGGAAGTGTTTTTGGGGTGTTTTGGGGCTGTTTTTGTGAGTTTTGGGGGGGTTTTTGGGGCTGTTTTGGTGGATTTTGGAGGGGGTTTTTGGGGTGTTTTGGGGCTGTTTCGGTGCGTTTTGGGGCTGGTTTTGTGAGTTTTTGAGGGTGTTTTTGGGGTGTTCTGGGGCTGTTTTGGGCCTGGGGGTTTCGGGGGGTGCCGGTTCCTGTTCTGGGGGTCCCGGGGGGGTTTTTTGGCCCCACCTGCTCGAAGAACTCGTCCATGAAGTGGTCCCTGTCCACTGTCACCACCTCGTCCTCGTCGTCGCTGTCCTTGGCCTGCAGGGGGCGCTCTCATGGGGAGGGGGCGGGGCCTCCACCCAAGCCACGCCCCCTCCCCCCATCCCCGTGCTCTGATTGGTCAAAGTGGTTGGAGTGGGAGGTGTGGGCTTTTATTTGCATAACCACGCCCCCTGTGGTCAATACCTCATTTGCATAACCCCACCCATGAGAGTCAATCATTATCTGCTAATTTGCATAAAGCACAGCCCTAAATTATCGTCTACCCATTGCTAATTTGCATAACCCCGCCCACACAAGAAACATAAACTATTCCTCATTTGCATAACACCACCACCACAAACAACTAATTAGCAGCTCATTTGCATATTCACACCCCTAAACAATTTGCGTTCTTATCTCATTTGCATAACCCTGCCCATCAATGAGATAATCAACTGCTCATTTGCATAACCCCGCCCCACCCGTGCTTCCCCCACCCCCTGCTGCCTCCTGATTGGCTGCCTCAGCCCTGTCTCATTTGCATGCCTCATTTGCATAGAGCCGCTCATTGGCCGCCCGCTCTGGGGTGATTTGCATAAGGGGCGGAGCCAGCAGGGGGTGCCCGAAGCTGATTGGCTGAGCCCGGGGGTGACCCCCTCCCCAAAAGGGCTGAGGCTCCGCCCCCTGGGGGGGACCCCGAGACCCCCCCAGCGACCCCAACTGACCCCAAATGACCCCCCCGGGACCCCCCCGGGACCCCAAAGCGACCCCCGAGAACCTCCCAGACCCCCAAATTCCCCCAAGGCCCCAAAACCCCCGAGACCCCCTCGGAGCCCCCAAAATCTCCTGCACCCCAGAGCCCCCTCAGAGACCCCAGGGCAGCCCCCAAAGCCCCTCTGCCCCCAGAGTCCCTTCCCCCAAACAGCCCCAAAACCCCCAATATCCCCCAAACCCTCAACCCCCAAAAAACTCCCTCCAGGACCTCTCAGAGCATCCCCTGCACCCCAGAGACCCCCTTAAAAGACCCCCTCCAGCCCCAGAGCTTCTCCTGCACCAGGGACCCCAAAACCCCCAAACCCCCCAAAACTCCCCCAAACCCCCCTCAGAGCATCCCTGCACCCCAGACACCCCCCCAAAAGTCCCCCTCACTGGCCCCGGAGCATCTCCTGCAGCCCGAGACCCCAACCCCAAAATGCCCCAAATCCCCTAAAACCTCCCAACCTCCCAAAATCCCCAAATCCCCTAAAACCTCCCAACCCCCTCCCAAGATCCCCCAAATTCCCTCTAATCCCCCAAAAGCTCCCACCAGACCCCCAACCCCCAGAGCATCCCCTGCACCTCAGACCCCCCAAAAAGGACCCCTCGCAGCCCCTCAGACCCCCAGAGTCTTCTGCACCCGAGACCCCAAATCCCCAAACCTCCCAAACCCCCAAAACCCCCAAAACCCCCAAACCCCCCGAGCATCCCCTCCCCCCACAGACCACCCCCTCCCCCACACCAGGACGACCCCCCAAAAAAAGCCCTCGAGGCATCTCCAGCGCCCCCAAATCCCCTCGACCCCCCTCCCCAAAACCAACCCCCTCCCAAAAACCTCCCCCCTCCCCTCCCTCCCCCGCTCACGCTGCGAAGCTCCTGAGTCCGGTCCTTCATGGTGGGAGGGGTGTGGGGGTGCCTGATTTTTGGGGGGGGAGGAGAGAGGGTCTCCCGGAGGCCCGGGGGTCGGCCCAGGACCCCCTGGTGGCGTTTTTGGGGGAGGAGGGAGGGGTTTGACCGTCCGGGGGCTGCGGCAGGCCGGCTGCGGCTGCGGAGGGGGAGGAGGAGAAGGGGAGGAGGAGGGAGAGGGAGGGGGAGGAGGCTGCGCAAAGGGGGCTGCAGGCTGCGGGGGAGGGCTCGAGACGGGGAGGGGCGGGGTTTGAGCGGGGACGGATTTTGGGGGGTCCCGGACCCTCCTTGGGGGGGTTTGGGGGTCCCGGACCCTCCCCGGGGGGGATTTGGGAGCGCCTCCTAGGGGGGTTTGGGGTCCCGGACCCCCTCAGGGGGTTTGGGGATTCGGATCCTCCTCAAGGGGATTTTGGGGGTCCGGACCCTCCTCAAAGGGGTTTTGGGGTTTCAGATCCTTCCAGGCGATTTTGGGGTCCCGGACCCTCTCAGGGGATTTGGGGGTCCGGATCCTCCTCAGGGGGATTTGGGGGTCCTGGACCCTCCTGGGGATTTTGGGAGTTCGGACTCCACCGGGGGATTTTGGGGTTTGGATCCTCTCAAGGGGATTTTGGGGGTCCTGACCTTCCTTGGGGGGTTTTGGGGTCCAGGACCCTTCCCAGAGGATTTTGGGGGCTTTGAGGATTTTGGGGGTCTGGGGTCTCCCACGGAGAGACTCTGGGGTGGGGGGTTTGGGGTGCCCGGACCCCCCGCCAAGGGATTTTGGGCGTTTGAGGGGACAGGGCAGAATCCCTCAGGGATTTTCGGGGTCCCAGGGAATTTTAGAGGGTCCGGGGATTTTGGGGGCATTTTGGGGAGTCCCAGGAGGGTTTTGGGGGTATTTTAGGGGGTCCGGGGATTTGGGGTATTTTGGGGGTCCTGGATGGGGTTTCTGGGGTATTTTTGGGGTATTTTGGGAGTCCCGGGGGGGATTTGGGATATTTTGGGGGGTCCCAGGAGAGGCTTTGGGGGACATTTCGGGGTCCTCGGGTGAATTTTGGGGGTCCCGGGTGGGTTTTCTGGGGTATTTTTGGGTGTTTTTGGGGGTCCCGGGTGGGGTTTCTGGGGTGTTTTTGGGGTATTTTGGGGGTCCCGGGTGGGGTTTTCTGGGAGTGTTTAGGGTATTTTGGGGGTATTTTGGGGTCCCAGGTGGGGTTTCTGGGGTGTTTTGGGGTGATTTTGGGGTCCCAGGTGGGGTTTCTGGGGTATTTTTGGGGGTCCCAGGTGGGAGTTTTGGGGTGATTTTGGGGGTGATTTTGGGGTCCCGGCTGGGGTTTCTGGAGTGATTTTGGGGTATTTTGAGGTCCCGGCTGGGGTTTCTGGGGTATTTTAGGGGGTCCCCGGTGGGGTTTCTGGGGTGGTTTTGGGGTGATTTTGGGCTGTTTTGGGGTCTCTCCCTCCCCCCCCAAAGACCCCAAATCCCGACTCGAATCATCCTTTATTTCTGACGTCACCAAAAAGGGGGCGTGGCCACAACCAGTCCCCACCCCCACAAACCCCCGCCCCCACCCTCCACCCCGGGGGCGTGGTCACTACAGAGGAGCGTGGCTATCGCGATAGGGGCGTGGCTGCCGGGGAGGGGGCGGGGCCGTGACGGCGCTGGTGCCGCCTCAGCCCCGCCCCCGAGGCGAAGCTCCGCCCACAGACGGGGCAGGGGAAGGGGCGGGGCCCCGAAGGGGCGACCATGTTGGATTCCCCAATGGGGGCGGCCATGTTGGATTCCCCACTGGGGGCGGCCATGTTGGATTCCCCACTGGGGGCGGCCATGTTGGCAGCCATGTTGGTGGGGGCCATATTGGAGGGTGCCATGTTGGAGGCCATGTTGGATTCCACCAACATGGAGGTGGCCATGTTTGAGGGCGCCATGTTGGTGGGTGCCATGTTGGTGGGTGCCATGTTGGAGGCCATGTTGGAGGCCATGTTGGATTCCCCAATGGGGGCGGCCATGTTGGTGACCGCCATGTTGGAGGGCGCCATGTTAGTGGGTGCCATGTTGGTGGTGGCCATGTTGGTGGTGGCCATGTTGGTGGGGGCCATGTTGGTGGTGGCCATGTTGGTGGGGGCCATGTTGGCTCCCCTCACGGCCATGTTGGACCCCCTGCTGGGGTCCCCCCTCCCCTGCTGTTTCCCCCAAAGGTGGCCATGTTGCTTCCCCCAAGGGGGGCCATACCGGTGACGGCCACACTTCCGGGGGCCACATTGGCCTCCCCTGCGGCGGCCGCCATATTGGGGGCGGCCATGTTGGTTCCTCCCACGGGGACCCCCAGACCGGGGTTGGCCTCGCTTGTGGGGGCCATATTGGGGTCGTTTTCCCCGCTGGGGGTGGCCATACTGGCGGGGGCCATATTAACCCCTCCATATTGAGCGGCCATATTGGCGGGCACCACACTGGGGGCGGCCATATTGGTGGCCATATTGGCAGGTGCCACACCAGGGGCGGCCATATTGTCCCCCCTTACGCTGCCGGCCATATTGGCGGGAATCACACTGGGGGTGGCCATATTGGTGGCCATATTGTCCCCCCTTCCTCCGGCAGCCATATTGGCGGGAATCACACCGGGGGCAGCCATATTGGTGGCCATATTGGCGGGCACCCCACTGGGGGCGGCCATATTGGCCCCCCTTACGCCGGCGGCCATATTGGCGGGCACCACACCGGGGGTGGCCATATTGGTGGCCATATCAGCACATACCACACCGGGGGTGGCCATATTGGCGGGCACCACACCGGGGGTGGCCATATTGGTGGCCATATCAGCACATACCACACCAGGGGTGGCCATATCAGCAGATACCACACTGGGGGCGGCCATATTGCCCCCCCTTCCTCCGGCGGCCGCACCGGTTGCCCCGCAGGCCTCCTCCGCCCCGGGGTCCCCCCCGGCCGCGTCCCCCCCCGCGCTGCGCTCCCGCCCCGCCCGCGCCGCGCCCGTCCCCGCGGCCGTGCGTCCTCTCGTGCTTGCGCAGCCCGGAGGCGCCGCCGAAGCCCTTCCCGCAGCTGGCGCAGGCGAAGGGGCGCTCCCCGGAGTGCGTGCGCCGGTGCTTGCCCAGCGCGGCGCGCTCGCCGAAGCCCTTGCCGCAGTCGCCGCAGCGCCAGGGCCGCTCCCCGGAGTGCGTCAGGCGGTGCCGCTTCAGGTCCCAGGAGGCCACGAAGCCCTTGCCGCAGTCGCCGCAGCGCCAGGGCCGCTCGCCCGTGTGGGTGCGCCGGTGCACGGCCAGGTCGGCCGGCTGCCGGAAGGCCTTGCCGCAGTCGCCGCAGCGGCACGGCTTGAGGCCCTGGTGGGCGCGCTGGTGGCGCCGGAAGCTGGAGGGGTCGGCGAAGGTGCGGCCGCACTGCGGGCACAGGAAGGGGCGCTCGCCGGTGTGCACGCGCCGGTGGCTCTGGAAGGACGAGAGCTGCGTGAAGGCCTTGCCGCAGGCGGCGCAGGGGAAGGGCTTGGCGGCGGCGTGGATGCGGCGGTGGCAGGCCAGCGACGACGAGCGGCCGAAGCTCTTGCCGCAGTCGGCGCACAGGAAGGGCCGCTCGCCCGTGTGGCAGCGCTGGTGGTTGCGCAGGTCCTTGCGCTCGGCGTAGGCCTTGGGGCAGGCGCCGCAGCGGTGCGGCCGCAGCCCCGCGTGGCCCCGCAGGTGCTTGCGGAAGGCAGAGGGGTCGGCGAAGGCCTTGGGGCACTCGGGGCAGGCGAGGGGCGTCGCCCGTGTGCGCCCGCCGGTGGATCGTCAGCTTGGCCCACGACGGGAACGCCTTCGGGCACAACGGGCACGCGAACGGCGGGGAGGGGCGGGGGGCAGACCCGGGGAGGGGAGGTGGGGAGGCGCCCCGGGGGGGAGGTGGGGAGGCACCCCAGGGGAGGGGAGGAAGGGGAGGCTCCTCCAGGGAGGGGGGAGGCACCCCCAGGGGAGTCGGGGACACTCCCGGTGTCCCCTCCAGGTGAGTTTGGGCCGGTGGTGGCCCCTCCAGGGGAGTTTTGGGGGGACACGAGGGCATCTCCAGGTGGGTTCAGGGCAGTGGTGGCCCCTCCAGGTGTCCCAGGTGTGTCCCTGGTGGCCCCTCCAGGTGAGTCGGGGGCACCTCCAGGTGAGCTGGGGGGGGTGGTGGCCCCCCCAGGTGCTTCAGCTGTGCCCATGGTGGCCCCTCCAGGTGAGTTCAGGGGGGTGGTTGCACCTCCAGGGGAGTTGGGGGCATCTTCAGGTGCTTCAGGTGTGTCCCTGGTGGCGCCTCCAGGTGTGTCCATGGCCGTGGTGGCCCCTCCAGGTGAGTTCAGGGCCCCTCCAGGTGTCCCAGGTGAGTCCCTGGTGGCCCCTCCAGGTGAGCTGGGGGCGTCTCCAGGCGGGTCTGGGGACGTGGTGGCCCCTCCAGGTGTCCCCAAGGCCCCGGTGGCCCCTCCAGGTGTGGCCATGGCGGCCCTGCAAGGGCGTGGTCAGGTGTGGGGAGGGGGGATACTGGGAGGGACTGGGAGGGACTGGGAGGGTTAATGGGGGGACTGGGAGGTTACTGGGAGGAATGGGGGGACTGGGTGGGTTAATAGGGGGACTGGGAGGGACTGGGAGGTTACTGGGGCGTACTGGGGACCTACTGGTGGGTTACTGGGGATTACTGGGAGGGCTAATTGGGGGTTACTGGGGGAAACTGGGGAGGGGAAATGAGGGGTTTAATGGGAGGGGACTGGGGGCTAACGAGGGTTAATGGGAGATGGGGGGATACTGGGAGCCCGATTTTTGGGGGAAAAACTGCCAATTTTGGTTGGTTTGGGAGTCCCCAGATTTGAGGAGGGAGGTCAGGGAACACCCCGATTTTGGGAGGAAACCTCAATTTTTAGGGCTGTTCGGGTGGATTTTGGGGGTTCTGGGTGTCTCCGTTTTTGTGGGGCGGGGGTTTGTCCTCAAAGCCCCCTTCCCACCCCTGGAAGGGGCCGTTTGGGGGAGGGAAGACCCTGATTTTGAGGAGGAAAACTAGGATTTTTTGGGGTGAAACCCCAGTTTCGAGGGGTTTCCGGGGTTTTCGGGGTCTCCACCCTTTCTTTGGGGTCGCAGCCCCACCCACGCAAGGGGCCGTTTTGGGGGTGGGGAAGGGTCGGGGTGGGGCAGGGGAAGGGGAGACCCCGATTTTGGGAGAGAAACCCCCGATTTTGGGTGTTTTCGGGGTGTTTTTGGGGGTCTTACCTGGGGGGGCGTCGGGCGGCTCTAGGACCCGGAGGGGGCGGGGGCAGGGCTTCAGGGTGGGCCCGGCGCTGATTGGCGGAGAGGGCTGTAAGTCCAAAGCCGATTGGCTGGAATCGTGAGGAGGGGCGTGGCTAAAGCGCTTCCGGCGCGGGCGGAACAAAGAGGGGGAGGGGGAGGAGGCAAAGGCGGTTTTAGGGATTTTTGGGGGTTTTTGGGGGTTTTGAGATTGGGGGGATTTGGGGATTTTCTGCAGGGGTTCGAGGCGATTTGGTGGCGTTTTGGGGGCGCGTTGGGTTTTTGTTTTAAGGGGCCCCTCCAAATCGAGGGCGGGGCCTGAGGGGAGGGCGGTGACGTCACAAGCAAGGCGTGGTCTGATCCTTCGCTCACTTCCGGTCCCGGTGAGTCCCCAAAACCCCCCGTTTGGCCCCAAAACCGCCCCAAATCCCCCTGTTTGGCCCCCAAATCCCCAGGTTTCGCCCCCAAATTCCCCGGGTTTTGCCCCAAAATCGCCCCCGTTTTGCCCCCAAACACCCCTGAAACCCCCAGATTTCACCCCAAAATCGCCTCATTTCGCCCCAAAACCCGGCGGGAGGGGGAGGGGGAGTCAATTAAAGGGAGTGGGCGGGGTTCATTAATTAATTACCCCGGTAATTGGCGATTCCCCCCCCCAGTTCTTTCTCCCGGCCCAATTTTTCCTCCATTTCTCGCGGGGTTTTTTTTTTCCCCAAAAAAAGCAACTTCTGGAACTCAACTTTGGGTCAATCCGGGCTCACTTTGGGTCAATTTGGGCTCAATTTTGGCCGATTTGGGTCACTCTGGGTTTGGTTTTGGCCGATTTGGGTCAATTTGGGCTCAATTTTGGCCGATTTGGGTCACTCTGGGTTCGGTTTTGGCCGATTTGGGTCAATCCAAGCTCAGTTTGAGTTTTGGTTTGGGTCAGTTTGGGTTGGACTCAACTTGGGGTGGATTTGGGTCAATCCGAGGCCGATTTGGGTCAATCTGAGGCCAATTTGGGTCAATCCGAGGCCGATTTGGGTCAATCCAGTCTCAACTTGGCTCAGTTTGGGTCAATTTAAGGCTGATTTGTGTCCATCTGGACTCGACCAACCCGAGGCCAATTTGGGTCAATCTGAGGCCGATTTGGGTCAACCCAAAGCGGATTTGGCTCAATCTGAGCCAACCCAAGGCTGATTTGGACCAACCCAAGATGGATTTGGGTCAATTTGGCTCAACCTGTGCCAACCTAAGGCCGATTTGGCCCAACCCAAGGTACATTTGACCCAATCAAGGCCAATCTGGGTCAACTCAAGGCCGCTTTGACCCAACTAAGGCCGATTTGGGTCCATTCAAGGCCGATTGGGGTCAATTTACCCCCACTCAAGGCCGGTTTGGGTCAATCTCTGCCAACCCAAGGCTGGTTTGGGTCCATTCAAGGTCGATTTGGGTCAATTTGCCCCCACCCCAAGGCCAATTTGGGTCTATTCAAGGCCGATTTGGGTCAATCCAAGGCCGATTTGGGTCAATCTCTACCACCCCAAGGCCAATTTGGGTCCATTCAAGGCCGATTTGGGTCAATCTCTGCCAACCCAAGGCTGATTTGGGTCCACCCAAGGCCGATTTGCCCCCACCCAAGGCCGATTTGGGTCCATTCAAGGCCAATTGGGGTCAATTTGCCCCCCCCCAAGGCCGATTTGGGTCAATCTCTACCAACCCAAGGCCGATTTGGGTCCATTCAAGACCGATTTGGGTCAATCCAAGGCCGATTTGATCCAACCCAAGGCCGCTTTGGGGTCAATTCCCCCCCCCAAGGCCGCCCCATCCCCGATCACCCCCAACTCTCCCCCCCCAGGTCCCGGCGATGCCGCGGGCGCGCCCGGCCGAGCGGTACCGGCAGCAGTACCGGCGCCTGCGCCGCGCCGCTCGCGCGCTGGTGCTGGAGAACGGCGCCCTGTGCGACGAGGTGGCCCGGCTGGAGGCCAAGTGGCTGCGGGCGCGCCACGAGCGCCGCTTCCTCCTGGCCCGCCTGCTCCGGCTCCGCGCCCTCCACGCCCGCGCAGACCCCGGGACGAGCCCCCCAACCCCGGGGGGCCGGGCAGGGACCCCCCGGCCGAGGGGCCGCGGCGCAGGCAGGGGCGGGGCAGCAAGGGGGAGGGGCGAGGGCAGGAGGTGGGGGGAGGGGGAGGGCCACGGGGCGAGACCAGCGGGGTCCAGAGAGGACCAGTGGCCAACTGGGACGAGACCAGTTGGTTCCAGGGAGGACCAGTGGCCAACTGGGATGAAACCAGTTGGTTCCAGGGAGGACCAGTGGCCAACTGGGACAAAACCAGTGGGGTCCAGGGACGATTTATGGACAACTGGGACAAAACCAGTGGGGTCCAGAGATGATTCATGGACAACTGGGACGAAACCAGTGGGCTCCAGGGATGATTTATGGACAACTGGGACGAGACCAGTGGGGTCCAGGGAGGACCAGTGGTCAACTGGGACGAGACCAGTGGGGTCAAGGCCAAGGCCGCCGGAGGAGCGGGAGGAGCTGAGGCCCGACAGGACCCTCCCCCCGGCACCGCCACCCCCCAGGATGCCCCCCGAGGAGGAGGAGGAGGAGGAAGAGGAGGAAGAGGAGGACGATGACAATGAGGACGAGGAGGAGGAGGACGATGAGGACGAGGAAGAGGAGGAGGAAGGAGGAGGAGGAGGAGGAGCCGCCCCGGCTTTCGGCTACGCCGACATCTTCCTGGGCAGCCCCGCGGGCTCTGATGAGTGACTGACCCCGCCCACCCCAAATAAACCCCACCCACCCCAATAAACCACACCCACCACAATAAACCACGCTCACCTGAATAAACCATGCTCTCCACAATAAACCCCGCCCACCCCAAATAAACCCCGCCCACCCCAAATAAACCACACCCACCCCAATAAACCACGCTCACCTGAATAAACCATGCCTCACAATAAGCCCCGCCCACTCCAATGGCCCTGCCCACCCCAAATAAACCCCACCCCACCCCAATAAATGGCCCTGCCCACCCCAAATAAACCCTGCCCACCCCAAATAAGCCCCGCCCACCCCAAATAAACCCCCCACCCCAATAAACCACGCCACCTGAATAAACCATGCTCTCACAATAAACCCCACCCACTCCAATAAATGGCCCCGCCAACCCCAAATAAACCCCACCCACCCCAATAAATGGCCCCACCCACCCCAATAAACCCCACCCACCCCAATAAACCATGCTCACCTCAATAAACCCCGCCCACCCAAATAAATGGCCCCGCCAACCCCAAATAATAAACCCCACCCACCCCAATAAACCACGCCCACCCCAAATAAACCCTGCCCACCCCAATAAATGGCCCGCCCACCCCAAATAAACCCCACCCACCCCAATAAACCATGCTCTCACAATAAACCCCGCCCACTCCAATAAATGGCCCTGCCCACCCCAAATAAACCCCACCCACCCCAATAAATGGCCCTGCCACCCCAAATAAACCCCACCCACCCCAATAAACAGCCCCGCCCACCCCTGTTGTTTGAATGGGGGAGGGGGCGGAGCCACAACCAAACGAGCGTTTATTAAAATCGAGAGGGGGAGGGGGGCGTGGCAGGCTAAGTGGGCGGGGTTTCGCCCCCCAGGCCATGCCCCCTTTTCTTTTACCTCCCCCTGCCCCGGGGGGCTTCCTAGAGGATGTTGTGGTAGAGCTGGACGACGTCGGGGTGGTCGCCCAGGGCCTGCAGCAGCTGCTCCGCCTGCGCCCGCGGCCCCTCGGGCAGCGCCACCGGCGCCACCGGCACGTACTCGAGCCCGGCCGAGAGCGGGCGCAGCCCCGCGGCCTCCAGGCCCTCCCGGACACTGCGCAGCGACGACGGGGCACACACGAACTGCAGGGGGGGGAAATGGGGAGGGCGGGGGTCACTGGGGACGGTCAGGGGTCACTGGGGATGGTCAGGGGTCACTGGGGACGGTCAGGGGTCACTGGGGCGGTCAAGGGTTGGCCAAGCATCATTGGGCTGGTCAGTGGTCATTGGGGGTGGTCGGGGCCAATAGGCACGGTCAGGGGTCATTGGGGACAGTCAGGGGTCATTGGGGAGGGTCAGGGGTCATTGGGGTGGTCAAGGGTCAATAGGCACGGTCAGTGGTCATTGGGGTGGCCAACGGTCATTGGGCGTGGCCTGGGGTCATTGGCGACAGTCAGGGGTCGTTGGGGTGGTCAGGGGTCCCTGGCATGGCCAACAGTTGTTGGGGACGGTCAACGGTCAACAGGGATGAGCAGTGACCACTGGGCGTGGCCAAGGGATGACCATTGGCCATCGGGGTGGCCAAGGAATGACCAGTGACCCTTGGATGACCAGTGACCATTGGTGGTGGCCAAGGGACGACCAGTGACCCTTGGATGACCACTGGGTGTGGCCAAGGGATGACCATTGGCCATCGGGGTGGCCAAGGAATGACCAGTGACCCCTGGATGACCAGTGACCATTGGTGGTGGCCAAGGGATGACCATTGACCCCTGGATGACCATTGGTGGTGGCCAAGGGATGACCAGTGACCCTTGGATGACCATTGGGTGTGGCCAAGGGATGACCAGTGACCCCTGGATGACCAGTGACCATTGGGCTTGGCCAAGGGACGACCGGGCATCGTTGGGGACAACGAGCCTGGCTGTGACCCCACCCCCCCATGGTGACCCCCCCTGAACTTCCCCAAACCCCCAGAGCACCCCCAGACCCCCTTTAACCACCCCCAGACCCCCTTTAACCCCCTAGACCCCCTTTAACCCCCCCAAACCCCCTTTAACCTCCCCAGACCCCCTTTAACCTCCCCAGACCCCCTTTAACCTCCCCAGACCCCCTTTAACCTCCCCCAGACCCCCTTTAACCTCCCCTAAACCCCCTTTAACCCCCAGACCCCCTCTTTAACCCTCCCCAGACCCCTCTTTAACCTCCCCCAAACCCCTTTAACCACCCCCAGACCCCCTTTAACCTCCCCTAAACCCCTTTAACCCTCCCCAGACCCCCTTTAACCTGCCCCAATCCCCTTTATCCCCCCAGACCCTTTTTATCCCCCCAGACCCCTTTAACCTCCCCCAGACCCCCTTTAACCTCCCCAAACCCCCTTTGACTTCCCCCAATCCCCTTTTATCCCCCCAGACCCTTTTTTATCCCTCCAGACCCCTCTAAACCCCCCAAGCCCCCTTTAACCCCCCAGACCTTCAGGGGGGCTCCTCACTCCTCCTCGTCCTCCTGGTCGGGGTCACGTCCTGGGCTCCGGCCGCCAGCGCCGCCTCAGCGCCGCCTCCATGGACACCGCCCGGCCCCGCCCGTCCCGGGGGGACACCCGCACCACCCCCGTGGGCTCGAAGCCGTGCCGGGACCCCTCGCACAGGGACCCCCTGAGGGAGAGACCCCCACCCAACAGTGAGGGTTATTTGGGGAGGGGAGGGTCCCTCAACCATCCCTGGGGGTCCCTCGCTCATTATGGGGGTCCCTCACCCCATCCTGGGGGTCCCTCCCCCGTCCCTGGCGAGCAGGACCCTCCATTCCCACCGGTTCCATCCCCCCCTGGGGACCCCTCCCACCCATCCCACCCCTCCCAGGGGTCCCTGGTGGTCCCTGAGTGCCCCCTCCCCACCCTGGTGGTCCCTGAGTGCCCCTGCCCACCCCGGGGGTCCCCTGAGTGCCCCCTGCCCACCCTGGGGGTCCCACTGACCCGTTCCTAATTCCCATTGGTTCCAACCCCCTGGGAACCCCTCCCACCCCTCCCAGGGGTCCCTGAGTGCCCCCTGCCCACCCTGGGGGGTCCCTGGGGGTCCCACTGACCCGTTCCTGGCGAGCAGGGCCCTGATCTCGTGCTGGGCCCTGCGTGGGTTGTCCGTGAGCAGCTCGAGCAGCACCGCGGAGCCCCCCGGGCCTCGCGCCTCCAGCAGCACCCGGGACCCCCCGCCCTGGCGCTCCTGGGGGGGTGGGAGAGGAGAAAAAACACAGAACAGGTCATGGGGAGGGCTGGGGGGACCACCCAGAGCCCTCCCAGAGCCCCCCCCAAGAACCTACGGCGCTCCTGAGGGCGGCCTCGATGTTGGCCTTGGGCATGTTCCGAGCTCGGCACTGCTCCACCACCTGAGCCAGGGCAGCGTTCCGGGAGGGGTCTGAGCCCCCCTCTGAGGGGAAATTGGGGTTAGAGGGGGGGGAGAGACCCCCAAATCTCACAGGACCCCTAAAAACCCCAAAGGGTGAGGGGAGACCCCCCAAAAACCCCAAACACTGCTCCACCACCTGAGCCAGGGCAGCGTTCCGGGAGGGGTCTGAGCCCCCCTCTGAGGGGAAATGGGGGTTAGAGGGGAGAGAGAGACCCCCAAATCCCAGAGAGTGAGGGGAGACCCCCCCTGAGTCACAGAGAGTGAGGGGAGACCCAAAAACCCCAAAGGGTGAGTGAGGGTTCCAGGCTCGGCACTGCTCCACCACCTGAGCCAGGGCAGCGTTCCGGGAGGGGTCTGGACCCCCCTCTGAGGGGAAATTGGGGGGTTAGAGGGGTGGGGAGAGACCCCCAAATCCCAGAGAGTGAGGGGAGACCCCCCTGAGTCACAGGGGACCCCCAAAAACCCCAAACACTGCTCCACCACCTGAGCCAGGGCAGCGCTCCGGAGGGAGTCCGGCCCCTCTGCTGGGGAAATTGGGGTTAGAGGGCAGGGAGAGACCCCCAAATCCCAGAGGACCCCCAAAAACCCCAAAGGGTGAGGGGAGACCCCCAAAAACCCCAAAGGGTGAGGGGTCTGTGCTCGGCACTGCTCCACCACCTGAGCCAGGGCAGCGTTCCGGGAGGGGTCCGGGCCCCCCTCTGAGGGGAAATTGGGGTTAGAGGGGGGGAAGAGACCCCCAAATCCCAGAGAGTGAGGGGAGACCCCCCTGAGTCACAGAGGACCCCCAAAAACCCCAAACACTGCTCCACCACCTGAGCCAGGGCAGCGTTCCGGGAGGGGTCCGAGCCCCCCTCTGAGGGGAAATTGGGGTTAGAGGAGAGGGGAGACCCCCCCTGAATCACAGAGGGTGAGGGGAGACCCCCCTGAGTCACAGAGGACCCCCAAAAACCCCAGAGGGTGAGGGGAGACCCCCAGAAACCCCAAACACTGCTCCACCACCTGAGCCAGGGCAGCGTTCCGGGAGGGGTCTGAGCCCCCCTCTGAGGGGAAATTGGGGTTAGAGGGGGGGGAAGAGACCCCCAAATCCCAGAGAGTGAGGGGAGACCCCCCTGAGTCACAGAGGGCGAGGGGAGACCCAAAAACCCCAAAGGGTGAGGGGAGACCCCCCCTGAGTCCCAGAGGATGGAGGAGACCCCCCCAGGTCCTACAGGATGGGAGACCCTCCCCTAAATCCCAAAGGATGAGGGAACCCCCTCCCAGAACCCACGGGGACCCCTCCCCAAATCCCCACAGGAGGGAGAGACCATTTTTGGCCCTCCAGGCCCCTGTCCCTCTATCGTGACAGCCCCCCCAGCCCCCTATCAGTGATATCCACTCCCCCTCATCGCGATATCTGCTCTTCCGCCATCCCTCTATCGCACCCTCTGATCGCGACATGACGCCACCTCTGGCGGCCGCGTGTAGCATCTGCCCGTCCCTCTGACCCTCTATGCCGCCCCCACCCCTCTATCGCGATATTCTCCATCCCCTCCACCCCCCGTCCCTCTATCGCTCCCTACACCCCTCTATTGCGATATTCTCCATCCCCTCCACCCCGCAGTGCCTCTATCGCGCCCTCCCTATCGCGACATGTCGCTACCTCTGGCGGCCACACACAGGATCTGCCCGTCCTTCTGACCCTCTATCGTCCCCCCCCGCCCGTCTATCGCGATATTCTCCATCCCCTCCATCCCTCTATCGCCCCCTCTATCGCGACATGACGCCACCTCTGGCGGCGGCGCGCGGCATCTGCCCGTCCTTCTGACCCTCTATCGCCCCCCCCGCCCGTCTATTGGTCCCCTCCGCCCCTCTATCGCGCCCCCTCTATCGCGACATGACGCCACCTCTGGCGGCGGCGCGCAGCATCTGCCCGAGGCGCTGGAAGAGGCGGCTCCGCTCGGCGTCCCGCGGGCCCTTCACGTTCCTCACCTTGGACCAGCGGTTGTGCCCGGCCATGGCGCGCCAGGACCCCCAAAAAGGGGTTCAGGGCGCCCCCGGCAGGGTGGGGGCGCTGGGGGAGGGGCAAAGGACCCCGACCCCCCGCTCAGGGTTGAGAAGCAGCAGCGACCCCACGATGGCGGGGAGGGGAGGGGAGGAGGAGGAAGGGGGACCCCAAAGGGAGCGCCGGGGGACCCCGGGAGGGGGCAGGGGGCACCTGGGACACCCCAAAGGGAGCGGCGGGGGCCCCACGAGGGGGAGCAGGGACCCCAGGGCGGAGAAGCAGCGGGACCCCGGGCCGGGGAGGGACCCTAAAGGGGGTGCTGGGACACCCCAAAGGGAGCGGCGGGGAACCCCCGCCCCAGAGAGGGGGCACCGGGGACCCCCAAAGGCACCGGCGGGGACCCCCGAAAGGGGGAACTGGGACCCCGGGACGGGGGCGTCGGGACTCCCAGAAGGGTCCGCCGGGGACCCCCGAAAGGGGAGCAGCGGGACCCCCAAAACGGGGCCGCACGCGAGGACCCCCAGGACCTGCAGGGACAGCAGGGACCCCCTGGGACAAGACCTGCGGGGCCCCCAGGACAGAGACCCCGGCAGGACCCCCAAAACAGAGACCCCGGGGGCTCCCAGAAGGGTCCGGCAGGGCCCCCGAAACCAGGGGACCCCGAGCCCCCGAGCCGGGGACGGCGGGGAGCCCCCAAAGGGTCCTGCGGGGCCCTCCCCCGGAACAGGCAGGGCAGGACCCCCCAAAACCGCCCCCAGCCCCTCCTGAGCAGGGAACCCCGGAGCCCCCCAAACCCCGCACCCCCAAAGCGGGGAGCCCCCGCGCAGGGAACGGGACCCCCCAAACCTGAGAGCCAGCGGGGACCCCCAAACCCCGGCACGGGGGTCCCTCCCCCCACTCCTGCCCCTCCCCCCACCGGGAGGGACCCCCGGGGACCCCCCAAGAGCGGGACCCGGAGCGGAGCCATGGGCGGGACCCGCCCCTTCCGCGCGCGGGGGGTCACGGGAAACGGGGGGGGGAGGGGCGATTTGCATGGACACGCCCCCCCTTTTTTGGGACTCGTGGCGTGACGTAATCGCCTCGTTTCCGTGGACACGCCCCCCCGAAAAACACCCCGGTAACGGCGTGACGTAATCCCGGTATTTGCATGGCCACGCCCCCCCTCTCCTCCCGTAGGAGGGTCGAACGGGCTAATTTGCATAGCCCCGCCCCCTCCCATCTTTGCGCAGAGCTGAGGGGGTGATGTCATCTCTTCATTTGCATAACCACGCCCCTTCTCTCCCTCCCTCCTCCCCGGGACGTTTCGGGGTGAAGAATTCGGGGTTATTTGCATGGCCACGCCCCTTTATGCAAATTAAAGGTGAGGCTCGGTGTTTATTTGCATAACCACGCCCCCCTGGAGCACCTGGAGCAGGTGTGGGCGGGGCCGAGGGACGGCGGGGTGGGCGGGGAGGAGGAAGGTGAGGAAGATGATGAAGGTGAGGAAGATGATGAAGATGATGAAGATGAAGGTGGCGATGGAGACTTTTGGGGTACCAGAGACCCCCGGACCCCCCTGGGCCCCCCACCCTGATGAACGTGATGATGATGATGATGATGATGAAAATGAAAATGGTTATGAAGAGATTTGGGGTCCCCCAGCCCCAGGGAAACCCCCAGAAACCCAAATCTGATGATGATGATGATGATGATGATGATGATGATGATGATGATGATGATGATGATGATGATGAAAATGAAGATGATGATGAAGACATTTGGGGTCTCTCAGCCCCAGGGACCCCCTTAGATCTCTGACCCTGATGATGAATATGAAGACGATGATGAAGACGATGATGAAGATATTTGGGACCACCTCCAGCCCAGGGGACCCCCCGACCCTGATGAAGGTGGTGATGATGATGATGATGGCCATGACGATGCCAATGAAGAAATTTGGGGTCCCACAGCCCCAGGGAACCCCCCCAGACCCCCAACCCTGATGAAGATGATGATGATGAAGATGATGACAAGGAACACATTTGGGGTCCCCCAGCCCCAGGGGATACCCAAAGACCCCCAACCCTGATGATGAAGATGATGAAGGTGAAGATGATGATGAAGATGAAGATGATGATGAAGACATTTGGGGTCCCCAGCCCCAGGGATCCCCCAGACCCCCAACCCTGACGATGACGATGAAGATGAAGATATTTAGGACCCCCACCACCCCCAAAGGCCGCGGCCCTTCCGGAGTGGGGGATGGGCCGGCCCGGTCCCCGTTTGGGAAGTTGACAGCTCTGACGTCACCGGCGGCCACCGCGGCTTGAGCAACACCGGGGGGGTGGGGGAGTGACCACGACACCCCCAAATCCGCGTGACCCCCCTGCCCATCCCCCACCTCCCCTTCCCTTCCCCTTCCCCCTTCCATTTCTCTCAGCCCCTCCCCCGCTTTCGACCCTCTCTTCCCAAATTTCCCCTCCACCTTCCCCCTCCTCCCCTCCCTCCAGGTCCTCCCTTCCTGCCCCTCCCCCGCCTCTCATAGCCCCCAACTTCTGCTTTGGGGCCGAGGGAGGAGGAAAGGGAGGATGGAAACTCGGGAGAGGCTCCTGCTGCTCCTGGGGGCAGGTGGGGGGCACCTGGGGGGCTTCGGGGCACCTGGACCCCCTGGGGGATTGGGGTCACCCGGGGATTTGGGGTCACCTGGGGGATTTGGGGTCACCCGGGGAGGATTTGGGGTCACCTGGGGGATTTGGGGTCACCTGGGAGGATTTGGGGTCACTTGAAGTCCCTGGGGGGATTTGGGGTCACCCGGAGGAGGATTTAGGGTCACTTGGAGCCCCTGAGGGGATTTGGGGTCACCCGGGGGATTTGGGGGTCACCTGGGGGGCATTTGGGGGTCACCTGGGGGCATTTGGGGTCACCTGGGGGATTCGGGGTCACCTGGGGGGATTTGGGGTCACGCGAGGGAATTTGGGACCCTCCCAGACCCCGGGATGGGATTTGGGGTCACCTGAGGGGAATTTGGGGTCACCTGGGGGGATTTGGGGACCGTCCAGACCCTCGGGGTGGGACCTGGATGGGAGGGTGGGGTTGGGGGTCACCTGGACCCTCTGGGTGGGATTTGGGACCCCTGGGTGGGATTTGGGAGCCCCTGGGTGGATTCGAGACCCTCCCCACCTCTGCGCCCCTCCCCGTCCCCAAAAAAGTGCTGAGCTCGACCCGCGGCTCCTCCCTGGACGTGGAGACCCCGTGGTGTTCCAGGGTGGGTCTGGAGGGGGGCAGCGACCGCCAGGGGGCTTCGGGGCCGCCGTGGCCCAGTTTGGCAGCGGAGATGATGGATGGTAAATTTGGGGGAGTTTGGGAGATTTGGGGAGCTGGGGAGAGGTCCCGACGTCCCCAATTCACCCCCAAAACCCCCAAATCCCACCCCAAACCCCCAAAATTCCCCCAATTTCCCCAAATCCCACCCCAATTCCCCCTCAAGCCCCCTCCCATTTCCACCCTCAAACCCCCAAATTCCCCCTCACCCACCCCCAATTCCACCCCAACCCCCGATTCTGGGGTCCAGCCTCAATTCCCCCCAACCCCCAAATCCACCCCCAAATTCCCCCAACCCCCAATCCCCCAAATCCCCCAAACCCCAAAATTCCCACTCCAATTTCCCCACCCCAATTTCCCCAAATCCCACCCCAATTTCCCCCAGCCCCCAAATTCCCTCTCAACTCCCAATTCCACACTAACCCCACCGATTCTGGGGTCCAACCCCCTCAATTCCCCCAAAAAAAAACCCACTAAATCCCACCCAAATCCACCCCAATCCCCCAATGCCCCACCCAACCCCTCAAATCCCCACAAACCCATAAATTCCCCCAAATCCCCCAACTTCCACCCCAAGTCCCCTGATTCTGGGGTCCAACCACTCCCAGCACCCTCAAAAACCCCCTTTCCCCTCCCCCGCAGGGTCCTGGTGGGAGCCCCCTGGAAGGCTCTGGCCGGGGGCGTTTACTGAGTGCAGGGTCCGCTCTGGGACCTGCCAGAGGCTCCCCTGACGGGTAAGAGACCCCCGACCCAAAGAGACCCCCGACCCAAAGAGACCCCCCGGGATGGGTAAGGGGTTCACCCTGATTTTGACTCCCTCCCCAATTTCAGGCCCCCGGGTCACCAACGCGTCCCTGGGGCTGGCGCTGCAGGCGGGGGATGGGGAGGCCCTGGGTGAGTTTTGGGGGGTTGGGGGCTTGGGGGTTTGGGGGATTTTGGGGGATTTGGGGGAATTGGGGGGTTGGGGGATTTAGAGAGGGGATTTGAGGGAATGTGGGGATGGGGACAATTGGGAGGAATTGGGAGGGGTTGGGGGGATTGGGGGAATTGGGGAGGTTGGGAGGGGTTGGGGTGTTGGGGTGGGATTTGGGGGGTTTGGGGGTTTGAGGGGGTTTGGGGGATTTAGGGGGATTTGGGGGAATTGGGGGATGGGGGATAATTGGGAGGAATTGGGAGGGTGGGGGGATTGAGGGGAATTGGGGAGGTTGGGAGGGTTGGGGGTGTTGGGGTGGGATTTGGGGTGGGATTTGGGGTGGGATTTGGGGGCCTTGTGGGAGGGAATTTGGGGGGTTGAGGGGGATTTGAGGGGTTTGGGGGGAATCGAGGGGGTTGGGGTGGTAATTGGGGGGCTCAGAGGGGAATTGGGGGTTTTGGGGGGATTTGGGGAGCTTGGGGTGGGATTTTGGGGGATTGGGGTGGGAATCGAGGGGGTTTCACCCCTCCCAAAATGGGTGTTTGTGGGGGGACAGCAAAGAGGTTGAACCCAAATTCGGTGGGTTTGGGGGGTGGGGGTGGGGGTTTCATCCCAAAATCAGAGGGTTTGGGGCGAAGTCGAGGCCCAAATTTGGGGTTTCAGCCCCAAATTTGGCGTCTCTGGGGAGACATCGAGGGAGCTGAACCCAAATTGGGTGGTTTTGGGGTGGAATCGAAGAGGCTGAACCGAAAAGTCGGTGGTTTGGGGGCGGAACCCAGCAGGGTTTCAGCCAAATTCGGTGGGTTTGGGGTGGGGACTGAGGGAGCTGAACCGAAAAAAATCGGGGGTTGGGGGTGAAATTCAGGAGAGGGAACCCAAAATCCGTGGGTTTGGGGTGAAATTAAGGGGTTTCAGCCAAAATTGGAGGTTTTAGGGGTGGAAATGAGGAAGTTGAACCCAAAACTGGTGGTTTTGGGGTGGAATTGGGAGAGCTGAGCCCCAAAATTGGTGGGTTCTGGGTAAAATTAAAGGGGTTTCAGCCAAAATTGGTGGGTTTGGGGTGGAATTGTGGAAGTTGAACCCAAAATCAGTGGGTTTTGGGGTGGAATTGTGGAAGTTGAACCCAAAATCGGTGCTTTTGGGGTGGAACTGAGGAAGTTGGACCCAAAACTGGTGGTTTTGGGGTGGAACTGGGAGAGCTGAGCCCCCAAAATTGATGGGTTTGGGGTAAAACCAAGGAGGTTCCAGCCAAAACCGGTGGTTTTGGGGTGATATCGAGGGGGGGTTTAAACCCCAAAATCGGCCCTTTTTGGACCGAACCGAGGGGGTTTCACCCCAAAATCCACCCCCCATCCAGGTGTGTGGCCCCAGAGTGCCCCAGACCTGTGGGGAGAACGTTCACCTGAGGGGCTTCTGCGCCGTGCTGGGCCCCGACCTGCGGCAGCTCCGCAGCCTCCCCGACGCCCTCCCAGGTATGGGGGGGTCCTGGGGGGGTCAGGGCTGCTCCCCCACCCCCCTCTAGGCTTGACTGACCCCTCTGGACCCCCAAAAAGGGTGTCCCAAGCGCTCCCACGACATCGTGTTCCTGGTGGACGGCTCGGGCAGCATCGACCCCCGCGACTTCGGCACCATGAAGGGCTTCATCGCCGAGGTCATGCGGCGCTTCCGCGGCACTGACACCCAGGTGAGACGGCTCTGGGGGGTCAGCACTGACCACTGACCACCCACAGTGGTCATTGGGTCACCTCATGGGGGGCTGAGTCCATCAACGTTGACCATTGAACCCCCCAATGACCGTTGGTCATCATGGCCGAGGTCATGCGGCGCTTCCGCGGCACAGACACCCAGGTGAGGGCTCTGGGGGGGCCTGGGGGGTCAGATGGGGGGTCAAAACTGATCACTGACCCACCCAGGGGTCATTGGTCACCTCATGGGGGGCTGAGTCCGTCAACGTTGACCGTTGACCCCCCCAATGACCGTTGGCCACCATTGACCCCCCCAATGACCGTTGGCCATCATGGCCGAGGTCATGCGGCGCTTCCGCGGCACCGACACGCAGGTGAGACCCCCCTGGGGGTCAGCACTGACCACTGACCACCCACAATGGTCATTGGTCACCTCGGGGGGGGCTGAGTCCATCAACGTTGGCTGTTGACCCCCCCAATGACCGTTGGTCATCATGGCCGAGGTCATGCGGCGCTTCCGCGGCACCGACACACAGGTGAGACCCCCCTGGGGGGTCAGCACTGACCACTGACCACCCACAACGGTCATGGGTCACCTCATGGGGGGCTGAGTCCATCAACGTTGACCATTGACCCCCCCAATGACCGTTGGCCATCATGGCTGAGGTCATGCGGCGCTTCCGCGGCACAGACACACAGGTGAGACCCCTGGGGGGGTCTGGGGGGTCAACTGGGGGGTCAGCATTGACCACTGACCACCCACAGTGGTCATTGGTCACCTCATGGGGGGCTGAGTCCGTCAACATTGACCGTTGACCCCCAATAGTCACCCCCCGGGGCTGAGCCGTTGGCCATTGACCATTGGCCCCCGATGGCCGTGCGGCGCTTCACATGGCGGCACCGTCACGCAGGTGAGACCCCTCCTGGGGCCTGGGGGGTCAACATATGAGCACGGGCCACCCACAGGGGCCCCTGGGGTCACCTCATGGGGGGCTGAGTCCGTCAACATTGACCATTGACCCCCCCAATGACCGTTGGCCATCATGGCCGAGGTCATGCGGCGCTTCCGCGGCACCGACACGCAGGTGAGACCCCCCTGGGGCCTGGGGGGTCAACATTGACCACTGACCACCCACAGGGGTCATTGGTCACCTCATGGGGGGCTGAGTCCATCAACGTTGATCATTGACCCCCCCAATGACCGTTGATCACCACTGACCCCCTCCAATGACCATTGCCCACCATTGACCCCCCCAATGACCATTGGCCACCATTGACCCCTCCAATGACCATTGACCACCACTGACCCCCCCAATGACCATTGGTCACCTCCAGGTGGTCAACTTCATCAACAATGACCATTGACCCCCCCCAGTGGTCTTTGGTCACCTCATGGGGCGTTGAGTCCGTCAACGTTGACCGTTGACCCCCCCAATGACCATTGGTCACCTTGGGATGGTCAATTCCATCAACGATGACCATTGACCCCCCCAGTGGTCATTGGTCACCTTGGGGGGGTCAACTCCCATCAGTGTTGACCATTGACCCCCCAGTGGTCATTGGTCACCTCAGGGGGGTTGGCTCCATCAACACTGACCACTGACCCCCCCCCAACGGCCGTGGGTCCTCTCAGGTGGTCAACTCCACCAAGGCTGACCCCTGACCCCCCCCAGTGACCACTGACCACCTCGGGCTCGCACGGGGCGACCCCTTGGGAGTTCCCACCTCCCACCACCCCATTTCCCCCTCCCCTCCCCCCCCAGTTCGCCCTCACCCAGTTCTCCACCGGCATCGAGGACCACTTTGACTTCAACGCCTTCCGGAGGTCCCCGGACCCCGCGGCTCCTGGCGGGGGTGCGGCAGCAGTTCGGGGTCACCCGCACGGCCTCGGCCATCAAACACGTCCTGTGAGTGCCCCCAGGGCCCTCCCAGCCCCCTCCCTGTCCTGGTGACCCCCTGGACCCTCCCAGCCCCCACCACTGCCCTGGTGACCCCCAGACCCCCTCCCTGTCCTGGTGACCCCACAGACCCTCCCAGCCCCCTCCCTGCCCTGGTGACCCCCTGAACCCTCCCACCCCCTTACTGCCCCAGTGTCCCCTGAACCCTCCCATCCCCCTCACTGCCCCAGTGCCCCCAGACCCTCCCACCCCCACCACTGCCCTGGTGACCCCACAGACCCCTCCTGCCAAGGTGACCCCCAGATCCTCCCCCGTCCTGGTGACCCCTCACTGCCCCAGTGCCCCCTGGACCCTCCCACTGTCCTGGTGACCCCCAGTCCCTCTCCCTGTCCTGGTGACCCCCAGACCCTCCCACCCCCCTTCACCATCTCAGTGCCCCCGGGCCCTCCCAGCCCCCTCACTGCCCTGATGACCCCCAGACCCTCCCACCCCCGCTCACTGCCCCAGTGACCCTGGACCCTTCCCTGTCCTGGTGACCCCCAGACCCTCTCCCAGTCCCGTGTCCCCCTGGACCCTCCCAGACCCCCTCCCTGTCCTCGTGCCCCCTGCCCCTCCCCTGTCCTGGTGCCCCCCTGGACCCTCCCCCGTCCCAGCCCCCCATGGACCCTCCCCGTGTCCCCCCCCCAACAGGGACCGGGTGTTTGTGCCGGAGCGGGGGTCCCGGGCCGGGGCCTCCAAGGTGCTGATCGTGGTGACGGACGGGGAGAAGTACGGGGACCACCTGGAGTACGGGCAGGTCACGCCCCGCGCCGACGCCATGGGCGTCACCCGCTACGCCATCGGGGTGAGGGCACCGCCCCCGGCCCCAAATCCTTCATTCCTGACTGCTCTGACCCCAAATCCTTCATCTCCGGCTTCTTCAGCCCCAAATCCTTCATCCCCAACTTCATAAGATCCAAATCCTTCATCCCCGACTGCTCTGACCCCAAATCCTTCATCCCCAACTTCTTAATATCCAAATCCTTCATCCCCGGCTTCTTCAGCCCCAAATCCTTCATCCTCTACTTCACAATATCCAAATCCTTCATTCCTGACTGCTCCGGCCCCAAATCCTTCATCCTCTACTTCATAATATCCAAATCCTTCATCCCCCACTGCTGAGTCCCCAAATCCTTCATCCCCAACTGCTCTGACCCCAAATCCTTCATCCCCTACTTCATAATATCCAAATCCTTCATCCCCCAGTACTACGGCCCCAAATCCTTCATCTCCTACTTCTTAATACCCAAATCCTTCATCCCCAACTGCTCCAGCCCCAAATCCTTCATCCCCGGCTGCTCCGGCCCCAAATCCTTCATCCCCCACTGCTCTGACCCCAAATCCTTCATCCCCAACTTCTTAATACCCAAATCCTTCATCCTTGAGTTCTCCGTCCCCAAATTCTTCACCCCCAACATCTCCACCCCCATCCCTGTCCCCGCCTTGTCCACCCCGGATTTCCTCATTCCCAATTTATTCATCCTCAACTTCTCCATCCTCAACTTCTCCACCCCTGACTCGTCCAGCCCGGACTCTCCAGCCCTGACTTGTCCACCCACAACATCTCCATCCTCAGCACTTCCTTCCCCAATTTCTCCACCCCCATCTCCATCCCCGACTTCTCCACCCCTGATTTCTCCAGCCCCGGCTTCTTCATCCCCAACTTCTCCATCTCCGGCTTCTCCAGCTCCGACGTCTCCACCTCCGACTTCTCCTTCCCAAATTCTCCACCCCAAACTTCTCCTTCCCAAACTTCTCCTTCCCAAACTTCTCCACTTCTGACTTCTCCACCCCAAACTTCTCCACCCCAAACTTCTCCACTCCAAACTTCTCCACCCCAAACTTCTCCATCCCAAACTTCTCCACCCCAAACTTCTCCTTCCATCCAACACCCTCATCCCCGACATCCCCACCCCTGACATCTCCATCCACCCCTCCACCCCTCCATCCATCCCTCCATCCACCCCTCCATCCATCCATCCATCTCTCCCTCCATCCCTCCATCCTTTCCTCCCCAACATCTCCCTCCCTCCCTCCTCCTCCATCCAACATCTCCATCTCCATCCATCCCTCCCCAACACCTCCATCCATCCCTCCTCCTCCCTCCCCTCTCCATCCTTTCCTCCCCCAACATCTCCTCCATCCCTCCCCAACACCTCCATCCCTCCCTCCCTCCCTCCATCCAACATCTCCATCTCCATCCATCCCTCCCCATCTCCATCTCTCCATCTCTCCCTCCAATGTCTCCATCCCTCCGTCCCTGCCCAACATCTCCCTCCTCCTCCCCCCTCCTCCTCCTCCACCCCTCCCCAACATCTCCATCCACCCCCAACATCTCCCCCTTCCCCCTCCCCCATGAGCCCCCTCAAACCCCTCCCCACAGTGTCCCGCCCCTCCCCCAGGTGGGCGGGGCCTTCTCAAGCCCCACGCGCGGGGAGCTGCAGGAAATCCCTCCCCTCCCCTCAAACCCCTCCCCTCCCCCAAGCCCCTCCCCACCGTGTCCCGCCCCTCCCCAGGTGGGCGGGGCCTTCTCAAGCCCCACGCGCGGGGGAGCTGCAGGAAATCCCTCCCCTCCCACCCCCAAGCCCCTCCCCACCCTTTGTGTCCCGCCCCTCCCCCAGGTGGGCAGGGCCTTCTCCAAGCCCCACGCGCGGGGAGCTGCGGGAGATCGCGTCGCGCCCCTCCCCCACCACGTGTTCCGCGTGGACAACTTTGAGGCCCTGCAGGGTATCCAGGACGAGCTGCAGGACAAGATCTTCGCCATCGAGGGTACCCCGGGAGGCACGGGGGTCCTGGGGGTCCTGGGGGTCCCTGAAGGTCCTGGGTGATCTTGGGGGTCCTGGGGGTCCCTGAGGGTCCTGGTGGTCCTGGGAAAGATCTTCGCCATCGAGGGTACTCCTGGGGGGCACTGGGGGTCCTGAGGGGTCAGGGGTCCCAGGGGGTCCTGGGAAGGGTCCTGGTGGTCCTGGGGGATCTTGGGGGGTCCTGGGGGTCCTGAAGAAGGTCCTGGGGGTCCCTGAAGGTCCAGGGGTCCTGAGGGGTCAGGGGGTCCCAGGGGGTCCTGGGAAGGGTCCTGGGGGCCCTGGTGGTCCTGGAGGGTCCTGGGGACCCCATGGGGGTTTGTGGGGGTCCTGGGAAGGGTCCTGGAGGTCTTGGTGTCCCCCATGAGGGTTTGGGGGGGTCCTGGCGGTTCTGGGGGATCCTGGAGGTCCTGGTGACCCCCCTGAGGGTTTGGGTGGTCCTGGAGGGTCCTGGTGACCCCCATGAGGGTTTGGGGGGGTCCTGGGGGTCCTGGGGGGTCCTGGTGGTCCTGGTGACCCCCGTGGGGTTTTGGGGGGTTCTGGGGGGGTCCTGGGTGGTCCTGGTGACCCCCCTGAGGGTTTGGGGGGGTCCTGGTGGTCCTGGTGACCCCCCTGAGGGTTTGGGGGTCCCCCCTGAGGGTCGTGTCCCCCCCCAGGGACGCAGTCAGGGGACAGCAGCTCCTTCCAGCTGGAGATGGCCCAGGAGGGGCTCAGCGCCCTCCTCACCCCCGTAGGTGACCCCAAATTAACCCCTCCCCAAAAATAAAAGGGTCCCCAGGGATGGGTGGGGAGTGGGGGCTGGGGGGACAGTGGGGACACCACGGGGGGTCCTCTCTGTCCCCATATGGGGGTCCTGGGGATCTTGGTGGCCCCATGGGGGGGGTCTGGGTGTCCCCAAGGGGGGGTCTGGATGTCCCCAAGGAGGTCTGGGGGGTCCCTTGGGGGTCTGGGGGGTCCCTTGGGGGTCTGGGTGTCCCCACGGGGGTCTGGGGGGTCCCTTGGGGGTCTGGGTGTCCCCGTGGGGGTCCCTGGGGGTCCTGAGCCCCCCCCTGAATGTCCTGTTGTCCCCATGGGGGTCTCAATGTCCCCATGAGGGTCCCGGGCCCCCCCTGAGGGTCTGGGTGTCCCCATGGGGGTCTCAATGTCCCCATAAGGGTCTGGGTGTCCTTTGGGGGTCCTGGGGGTCCTGGGCCCCCCCTGAGTGTCCTGTTGTCCCCATGGGGGTCTCAATGTCCCCTTGGGGGTCCCTGGGGGTCCCAGCCCCCCCTGAGGGTCCTGTTGTCCCCGTGGGGGGTCCTGGGGGTCCCAGCCCCCCCTGAGTGTCCTGTTGTCCCCATGGGGGTCTGGGGGTCCCCTTGGGGGTCTCTGGGGGTCCTGAACCCCCCCTGAGTGCCCTGTTGTGCCCATGGGGGTCCCTGGGGGTCCTGAACCCCCTCTGAGTGTCCTGTTGTCCCCATGGAGGTCTGGGTGTCCCCTTGGGGGTCCCTGGGGGTCCCTGGGGGTCCCTGGGGGTCCCAGCCCCCCCTGAGTGCCCTGTTGTCCCCATGGGGGTCCCTGTGGGGGTCCTTGGGGGTCCCAGCCCCCCCTGAGTGTCCTGTTGTCCCCATGGGGGTCTGGGTGTCCCCAGGGTGGTCTCAGTGTCCCCTTGGGGGTCCCTGGTGGTCCCAGCCCCCCCTGAGTGTCCTGTTGTCCCCCCCCCAGGAGGGGCCGGTGTTGGGGGCCGTGGGTGCCTTTGATTGGTCCGGGGGGGCCCTCCTGTTCCAGGGGGGGGGAGGGACCCCCACCCTGCTCAACGTCACCCCCGGGGACACCCCCGGGGACACCCCCGGGGACACCCGAGGGGCCTACCTGGGTAAGACACGGGGGGGACACCCCAGAGGGGTCCTGGGGGGGTCTGGGGGTCCTGGGGGTCTGGGGGTCCTGGGGGTTCTGGGGACACCCCAAGGGGTCCTGGGGGTTCTGGGGACACCCCAAAAGGGTCTGGGGTAGGGGGTCTGGGGACACCCCAAGAGGGTTTTGGGGTCTTGGTGACCCAGCATGGGGGTTTTGGGGGCACTGGGAGGGTCCTGGGGGGTTTTGGGGGTCCTGGGGGAGGGGGTCTGGTGTCACCCCGTGAGGGTCTTGGGGGTCCCGGTGTCCCCCTTGAAGTTTTGGGGGTCCTGGTGCCCCCTGAGAGTTGGGGGGTCCCGGTGCCCCCATAAAGGTTTTGGGGTCCTGGGGTCCCCTGACCTCCTGTGGGTGCCCCCCTCCCCAGGTTACTCCCTGGCCTGGGTGCCCCTGGGGGTCCGAGCTTTGGCTAGGGGGCCCCGGGCTGGGCACGTGGGGAGGGTCCTGCTGTTCCTGCACCCACCTGGGGGCGCCTGGAGCCTCCTGAGCCACGTCTGGGGTCCCAGGTGAGGGGGGACACCTGGGGGTGGGGACACACCTGGAGCCTCCTGAGCCACGTCTGGGGTCCCAGGTGAGGGAGGACACCTGGGGGACACCTGGGGGGGACACACCTGGGGGGACACACTGGAGCCTCTGAGCCACGTCTGGGGTCCCAGGTGAGGGGGGACACACCTGGGGGGGATGACACCTGGAGCCTCTGAGCCACGTCTGGGGTCCCAGGTGAGGGGGGACACACCTGGGGGGACACCCACACACCTGGGAGGCACCTGGAGCCTCCTGAGCCACGTCTGGGGGTCCCAGGTGAGGGGGGGGACACCTGGGGGGAGGGGGACACGCCCCCCACACTCACCCCATACACCCCCCACACACATGGGGGGGACCCCAACTGGTGCCACCTCACCTGGTCCCGCCTCACCTGTCCCGTGTCACCTGTGCCACCTGGTCCCACCTGATCCCACCTCACCTGTCCCATGTCACCTGTCCCACCTGGTCTCACCTAACCTGTCCTGTGTCACCTGTCCCACCTGGTCCCACCTGATCCCACCTGGTCCCACCTCACCTGTCCCACCTGGTCCCACCTGGTCCCACCTGGTCCCACCTGGTCCCACCTGTCCCACCTGGTCTCACCTAACCTGTCCTGTGTCACCTGTCCCACCTGGTCCCACCTGATCCCACCTGTCCCACCTGGTCCCACCTCACCTGTCCCACCTGGTCCCACCTGGTCCCACCTGTCCCACCTGGTCCCACCTCACCTGTCCCACCTGGTCCCACCTGGTCCCACCTGTCCCACCTGGTCCCACCTCACCTGTCCCATGTCACCTGTCCCTCCTCACCTGGTCCCACCTCACCTGTCCCTCCTCACCTGTCCCACCTGGTCCCACCTGGTCTCACCTGTGCAGGTGGGCTCTTTTTTCAGGGGGGTCTCACCTGTCCCACCTGTGCAGGTGGGCTCATACTTTGTGGGGGGGTGTCTCACCTGTCTCACCTGTGCCCCCCTGGTCTCACCTGTCTCACCTGTGCAGGTGGGCTCCTATTTCGGGGGGGGGTCTCACCTGTCCCACCTGTGCAGGTGGGCTCCTATTTTGGGGGGGGGGGTATCACCTGTCCCCCTGTCTCACCTGTGCAGGTGGGCTCCTATTTCAGGGGGGTCTCACCTGTCCCACCTGTCCCCCCCTGGTCTCACCTGTCCCCCCTGTCCCACCTGTGCAGGTGGGCTCGTACTTTGGGGTGGGGTCTCACCTGTCCCACCTGTCCCCCCCTGGTCTCACCTGTCCCCCCCATGTGCAGGTGGGCTCGTACTTTGGGGGGTCTCTGCTGTCTCACCTGTCCCCCCTGGTCTCACCTGTCCCCCCCATGTACAGGTGGGCTCGTACTTCGGGGGGTCTCTGCTGTCTCACCTGTCCCCCCTGGTCCCCCCTGGTCTCACCTGTCCCCCCCATGTACAGGTGGGCTCGTACTTCAGGGGGTCTCTGCTGTCCCCCCTGGTCTCACCTGTCCCCCCCATGTGCAGGTGGGCTCGTACTTCGGGGGGTCTCTGCTGTCCCTGGACCCCGACGGGGACGGGCGGGCGGAGCTGCTGCTCGTGGGGACCCCCAACTTCTACGGGGGGGGCGGCGGCGGCCGCGTCCACCTGTGCGAGCTGCGCCAGCAGGTGAGGGGGCACACCTGGGCACATCACCTGGGCACCTCACCTGGGGAGCCTGTGTCACCTGTGTTACCTGTGTCACCTCACCTGTGTCACCTTACCTGTGTCATCTGTCACCTGTGTTACCTGTGTCACCTGGGCACATCACCTGGGCACCTCACCTGGGCACATCACCTGGGCACCTCACCTGGGCACCTCACCTGGGGAGCCTGGCACCTTTGTCACCTGTGTTACCTGTGTCACCTGGGCACATCACCTGGGGAGCCTGGCACCTGTGTTAGCTGTGTCATCTCACCTGTGTCACCTCACCTGTGTCATCTGATACCTGTGTTACCTGTGTCACCTGGGCACATCACCTGGGGAGCCTGGCACCTGGGGCACCTGGGGCACCTCACCTGGGGAGCCTGGCACCTGTGTCGCCTGTGTCACCTCACCTGTGTCATCTCACCTGTGTCACCTGTCACCTCTGTCACCTCTGTCACCTGTCACCTGTGTCACCTGGGGTGCCTGGGGCACCTCACCTGGGGAGCCTGGTACCTGTGTCACCTGGCACCTGTGTCACCTGTGTCACCTGGGTGCCTCACCTGGGGCACCTGTCCCCCTTCACCTGTCCCACCTGTGTCCCGTGTCCCACCTGTGTCCCCTCACCTGTGTCACCTGTGTCACCTGTCCCACCTGTGTCACCTATCTCACCTGTCCCACCTGTCTCACCTGTCCCCAGGGCCGGTCCCTGCAGTGCTCAGGGTCCCTGCGGGGCCATCCCGGGCACCCCCTGGGTGGTTTTGGGGCCAGCCTGGCCCCCCTGTGTCACCTGTGTCACCTGTGTCACCTGTCCCACCTGTGTCCCCTCACCTGTCTCACCCAGGGCCGTTCCCTGCAGTGTTTGGGGTCCCTGCGGGGCCATCCCGGGCACCCCCTGGGTGGTTTTGGGGCCAGCCTGGCCCCCCTGTCCCACCTGTGTCACCTGTGTCCCCTGTCCCACCTGTCCCCCCTTACCTGTGTCACCTGTCCCACCTGTCCCCCCTCACCTGTCCCACCTGTCTCACCTGTCTCACCCAGGGCCGTTCCCTGCAGTGTTTGGGGTCCCTGCGGGGCCATCCTGGGCACCCCCTGGGTGGTTTTGGGGCCAGCCTGGCCCCCCTGTGTCACCTGTGTCACCTGTCCCACCTGTGTCCCCTCACCTGTCCCCAGGGCCGGTCCCTGCAGTGTTTGGGGTCTCTACGGGGCCGTCCCGGGCACCCCCTGGGTGGTTTTGGGGCCAGCCTGGCCCCGCTGTCCCACCTGTCCCCCCTCACCTGTCCCACCTGTCCCCAGGGCCGGTCCCTGCAGTGCTCGGGGTCCCTGAGGGGCCATCCTGGGCACCCCCTGGGTGGTTTTGGGGCCAGCCTGGCCCCCCTGTGTCACCTGTGTCACCTGTGTCACCTGTCCCACCTGTGTCCCCTGTCCCACCTGTGTCACCTGTGTCACCTGTGTCCCCTCACCTGTGTCACCTGTCCCACCTGTGTCTCACCTGTCTCACCCAGGGCCGGTCCCTGCAGTGCTCGGGGTCCCTTCGGGGCCGTCCCGGGCACCCCCTGGGTGGTTTTGGGGCCAGCCTGGCTCACCTGAGTCCCCTCACCTGTCCCACCTGTCTCACCTGTCCCACCTGTCCCCAGGGCCGTTCCCTGCAGTGTTTGGGGTCCCTGAGGGGCCATCCTGGGCACCCCCTGGGTGGTTTTGGGGCCTAGCCTCCCTGTGTCACCTGTGTCACCTGTGTCACCTGTGTCCCCTGTGTCCCCTGTGTCCCCTGTGTCCCCTCACCTGTCCCACCTGTGTCACCTGTCCCCAGGGTCGGTCCCTGCAGTGTTTGGGGTCCCTGAGGGGCCGTCCCGGGCACCCCCTGGGTGGTTTTGGGGCCAGCCTGGCCCCGCTGTGTCACCTGTGTCACCTGTGTCACCTGTGTCCCCTCACCTGTGTCACCTGTGTCCCCTCACCTGTCCCACCTGTCCCCAGGGCCGGTCCCTGCAGTGCTCGGGGTCCCTGAGGGGCCGTCCTGGGCACCCCCTGGGTGGTTTTGGGGCCAGCCTGGCTCACCTGGGTGACCTGGACGGGGATGGGTGGCCCGAGGTGGCCGTGGGGGCCCCGCAGGAGGACGGGGGGCTCGGCGCCGTTTACCTGTTCGGAGGCACCAGGGCCGGGGTCCAGGCCCAGCACAGCCAGGTGAGGGGCCCTGCACACCTGGGGGGAGGGGATGGGGGGTCTTACCTGGGGGGTCTCACCTGGGGGGTCTCACACCTGGGGGGAATCTCACCTGGGGGTCTCCACCTGGGCTGGGGGTCTCACCTGGATGGGGGTCTCACCTGGGGGTCTTTCTTACCTGTCTTATGTGGAGGGGTCTCACCTGTGTCATTTGGGGGGTCTCACCTGAGGGGGTCTCTTACCTATTTTATGGGGGGGTGTCTCACCTGCCTTCTCTGGGGGGTCTCACCTGGGCTGGGTCTCTCTCACCTGTCTTATGTGTGGGGGGGTCTCACCTGTCACCCCGAGGGGTCTCACCTGGGGGGTCTCACCTGTCTTATCTGGGGGTCTCACCTGGGAGGGGTCTCACCCTCATTTGTGGGGTCTCTCTCACTTTTGGGGTCTCACTATTGGGGTCTCACCTTGGGGGGGTCTCACCTTGGGGTCCCACCTTTGGGGGGTGTCTCACCTGTAGCGGGTAGATCTCACCTTGGGGAGGGGTCTCACCTGTCCCCTCCCCAGCGCATCTCAGGTGCCGAATTCCCGAGCGGGCCCCGATTTTTTGGGTGGTCCCTGAGCGGGGGCCGCGACCTGAGCGGGGATCGACTGCCAGACCTGGCCGTGGGGGCGCGGGGGCAGGTGCTGCTGCTCAGGTGGGACCCCAAAAACCTCCCCTAGGGACCCCAAAATCCCACTGGGGGACCCCAAAAACCTCCTCAGGCACCCCAAAAACCCCAAAACCTCACTGGGACCCCAAAAACCTCCCTGGGGACCCCAAAAACCTGCCCGGGACCCCAAAAACCTCCTCAGGCACCCCAAAAACCCCAAAACCCCATTAGGACCCCAAAAACCTTCTCGGGCACCCCAAAAATCCCAAAACCTCACTGAGACCCCAAAAACCTCCTCAGGCACCCCAAAAACCTCACTGGGACCCCAAAACCCTCCACGGGGACCCCAAAATCCCACTGGGGGACCCCAAAAACCTCCCCGGGCACCCCAAAAAACCCAAAACCCCACTGGGACCCCAAAAATCACTTCAGGACCCCAAAAACCTTTCCATGACCCCAAAATCCCATTGGGAGACCCCAAAAACCTCTTCAGGACCCCAAAAACCTCCCTAGGCACCCCAAAACCTCCACTGGGACCCCAAAAATCTCTTCAGGATGCCAAAAACCTCCCTGGGGACCCCAAAGAAACCCAAAACTCGACTGGGAACCCCAAAAACCTCCTTGGGACCCCAAATCCCCTCTAACCTCCCCCAAACCCCCGGGGTGACCCCAAATCCCCCCCCAATCCCCTCCAATCTCCCCCAAACCCCAGGGGTGACCCCAAATCCCCCCAAATCCCCCCTAAATCCCTTTGGGGTGACCCTAAATCCCCCAACCCCCGGAGGTGACCCCAATCCCCAGGGCGCCCCCTGCTGCGGGTTCGGGTGGGGGTCTCGCTACGACCCCCGGTGGTCCTCCGGGCGAGCGCCTTCGAGTGCCCCGAGGAGGGGGAGCTGAGGGGACCCCTCGGCACCGCCCGCGTCTGCATCAGGGGCTCCAAACGCACCCCCGACGGCTTCGGTGAGACCCAAACACCCCCAGGGACCCCAAAATCCACCCTGGGACCCCAGAATCCACCCCGGGACCCCAAACACCCCCGGACCCCAAAAACAGCCCAGGGACCCCAAAAGCCCACCCGGGACCCCAAAACAGCCCAGGGACCCCAAATCCACCCTGAGACCCCCAGAACCCCGACGACGGCTCGGTGAGACCCCAAACACCCCCGGACCCCAAAAAACAGCCCAGGGACCCCAAAAACCACCCCGGGACCCCAAAAACACCCCCAGACCACCAAAACCCCCAACGGCTTCGGTGAGAACCCCAAAACACCCCTGACCCAAAACAGCCCAGGGACCCCAAAAACCCACCCGGGACCCCAAAAACCACCCCGAGACCCCCAAAACCCCACCCAGGACCCCAAAACCCCCCTGGACCCCCAAATCCCCCCGGGACCCCAAAATCTACCCCGGGACCCCCAAAAGCACCCCGGGATCCCCAAAACCCCCGACGGCTTCAGTGAGACCCCAAAACACCCACGGGACCCCCAAAATCCCACCCGGGACCCCAAAAACCCCCGACAGCTTCGGTGAGACCCCAAAACCCTCCCGGGGACCCCAAAACACCCCCAGGACCCCCAAAACACCCACAGGACACCCTAAAAACCCACCCAGGACTCCCAAATTCCCTCAAAAGCGCCCCAAATCCTCCAAACCCCCATAAATCCCATTTTCCCCTCAAATCCCATTTTTCCCCCCCAGGCTCCCAGATCTGGTCCCAGCTGTGGTTCCAGGCCGAGCTGGACCCCTCCCCCCAAATCCCCCCAAATCCCCCTCAAATCCTCAAACCCCCATAAATCCCCCAAACCTCCCCAAACCCCCATAAATCCCCATTTTCCCCAGGTTCCTGCAGGTGTGGTCCCAGCTGTGGTTCCAGGCCGAAGCTGGACCCCTCCCCACAAATCCCCACAAATCCCCCAAATCCCCCCAAATCCCCCAGATCCCCCTCAAACCCCCTAAATCCCATTTTTGTCCCCCCAAATCCCATTTTTCCCCCAGGTTCCCAGATCTGGTCCCAGATTTGGTTCCAGGCCGAGCTGGACCCCTCCCCACAATCCCCCAAATCCCCCCAAAACCCCATAAATCCCCCAGACCCCCATAAATCCCCCAAACCCCCATAAATCCCATTTTTCCCCCAGGCTCTGAGATCTGGTCCCAGCTGTGGTTCCAGGCCGAACTGGACCCCTCCCCCAAATCCCCCAAATCCCCTCAAGCCCCCATAAATGCCCCCAAATCCCCCAAACCCCCATAAATCCCTTTTTGCCCCCAAATCCCATTTTTCCCCCAGGCTCTGAGGATCTGGTCCCAGCTGTGGTTCCAGGCCGAGCTGGACCCCTCCCCCAAATCCCCCAAATCCCCCAAACCCCCATAAATCCCCCATAAATCCCATTTTGTCCCCCAAATCCCATTTTCCCCCCAGGCTCTGGAGATCTGGTCCCAGCTGTGGTTCCAGGCTGAACTGGACCCCTCCCGCCTGCAGGGGCCGGGAGTCTTCCCGGACGGGGCCGCGGCCAAAACGGGACCCTGCGGGTGGGGGTGGG